TTAATAACTGTTTATAACTAATAGATCTTACGAAAGTTTAAGCATTTGTTCTATATAATATTTTACTGTTACAGTTAAAGGTGAATTAAATAAATTTCATCAATTTTTTTTTTTTTATTTAGACATATAATATTCAGTCTCGTGGACAATGATTATAGTGATAAATGAACAGATTCACACCATATATACAGAAAATATAAAATTAACAAAAGTAAAATAATAACTAAATAATAATAAAAAAAAACTATGTACAATAAAAAATAAAATAACCTAAAGATAAGTAAATTAAAAACATAAAAACACAGTCATACCTAAATACAATCAGGCAGGGGACCCAAAGCCAGGCTTCTCCCTCCAACTATAGAAGGAAAAGCAGCTCTAACAGATCCCTGCGCTACTCTCTCACCAAAGTCACTTGTGATGAAGCCAGTGTAGTACTGTAGTAAATTATAGAAGAAAAAAAAAGGAAGGAATAAATAAAATTAATATCATTCTTATTTATTTCTTATTGTGAATTTGTTTTACTCAATTTTTAAGATGGTTTATGAAAAAATAAAACAACTATCATTAATTATTGAAAACAAATCTGTTAGTTATATTGATGTTTGTAATAATGTAGTAAATTCTAAAGTATGCCAGAATATGTAGTAGTAGTGATTTCAAGATCACTTTGAGTATACTGTAGGTAGAATCTAAAGTGCATCCGAAAGTAGACCTTACTTTCTCTTCGTAGCAGAATTTTTATGTCAGATAAGGTCAGATCAGTTCATGTCCCCCATCACACGGCATGAGTCGACTTACTGAAATGTTTTTCAGCTGTTCATCAAAACTTTCATATCTTTCTAGGAAATAAATATCGAACTAAACATAGTTTTTATTATTTAGAGCCAATGATAATTAACATTCCCTTTATTTTTTTTTCTTTATATATTTTCCTTTTGTGAAATCAGAAAATTATGTGTTTCTTTGTAACTATATTTCTTATATAAAAGGTTGTGTGCTATTTTAGTGCACTTAAGGGCCCCTTACACAGTTAATATCGAATTTCGTCAATATATTGACCTTCATTTGCATCAATTATATTGAGGTCAATCAAACTGATCGATATCAATTTTTTTTAATTTTTATTGAAGCGCATTGAATATTATTGAAACATTGTCAATGTAAGCGCTATATTGAGCAATATGAAACTATTTGTACGGATCTTGAGAAGCTCTGGGCGATACCAAATTTCCAGTGCCCCTCCTGGCAATATGTTTGAGTAGGGGGGAGGGGTGGTAGTTTTTTTGGGGAGTGGGAAGGGGATTTTACTCCCTCTAATTTTATTTTGTAAAGATAAAATAAAATAAAATGTTTGAGTAGGTGGGTGATACTTTGTTTTTTGGTGATAAGAGATTAAGGGAATCTATTGATGTAATAATGGATACAATAAAATAAAATGGTGTTTAAGATATAATTGATATAATAACAACTAGAAGATAAATGACAAATAATATACGATTGATTGAGATTATATTAACAACTATACAAAAAGAAAACAGATAATAATAATAAATGATATATATCTTGTTTTAAAATCAATGTTTGATAATGGACTAATAATACATAATTCACATTTTGAAAAATGAAGGAATGGGGAGTATGATATTATTAATAATTTCCTCTAGAGTATAAAAATCTTTACATTGATAATATAACAAGTATTTCCTTTAGGCAAGTTGTAATAATTATTAATAAAACTGTTTCAACCAAAAAAATTATATATGGCATTTAAAGTTATAACTTAATATTAAATAAATAATGTTCTGACTATGAAACTGGAGATATATATATATGTTGTGTTCATTCTCTGAATATAATTGATATAATTCGTTTTTTGACAAGTATAATTAATTTAGTAACTATTTATTATCCAGTATGTTTTCAATGTCCTCTGTGTTTGGTAAAAAAAAAAAAAAAAAGACATATCATTCTATTCACTGTTTTTAAGAAAGTATATTTGGCAAGACATTTTAAAGAGAGATGTGAAGAATTCAGAAACATTGAAAATCTGTAAATACCCAATTTGTATAATTTGTACTTTTCACAAAATATTGATGATTAAACTTTTAATATTATGAAATTGTATATTAATAAAAAACTATATTATGAATAGAATTATAGTTATAGATGTACAAGTATAAACTAACCTTAAATTTTAATTGTACCTTTACTTGGTAATAACCTAGTGATTCCAAAGTAGAAACTAAATAAGATGTTTATAAGTCATTAATTTCCTATTTTTAAGTGGAAAAATATAAAGTACTTTATTTATTTTGTAAATATTATTATAAATTTATTAATGTTAGTATTAAAGATTTCAGATGCTTACTGATTTTGAAACTAATTATTTGTTTATTTAATTTTAAGGGAAGTACTATTAAGGGTTTTTGCTATGCATAATTAGCAAGGTTTCTAATGATTGTGGTGTTATTTTTTTAACTTGTTACCAATATTTTTCATTTTTTTGACATAAATGTAAGTAAATTAAAAAAAAAAGAAATGAAAGAGTGTTTAAATCAATTTTAAACATGTATATCTATTTTTATATGTGAAATTATTTCATCACATCTTAATCGATTGTACTTGATTAACACAGATTCTGTATAAAATTTATGAATCAAGAGCTTGAATTGTAAAATATGTATGTTTTTTATTGTTTTTTTTTTATAAGAGCAAAAGGAAAAAAGAAGAAAAAATTAATTAAAATTGAAGATTGGCTCAAACAATAAATAAATTAAGCCTGGCCCTCTAGTTTTATTTCTATTCCTTCTGCTTCTTCCTTTACTCCACGTTTATGTTGTCCCTCACCGGAGATGGACTTAATCATAATCTTATGATTATAAGAAAAAAAAAGGAAGTTATAAAACATCCATTTGGTCTGGTGAAGAAGGTCTGGCATTTAGGCTGAAACTTTTCTTCTAAATAACATAAAATCATTTATCTTTATTTGTGTGTTCTCTCTGACTGCAATCCTCATCCATAAAAAAAAAAAAAAAAAAAAAAAAGGTGATTGTACAATACAGTTCTTGATAGGGTAAAAATAGTTTAAATTTGATCTCCAATGAAATGTCATGTATAAAAACATATAAAATTGATATTGCATTTTTAAAATAATAAATTATAATCATATTTAGCTAAAAACTTAAAAGAACAGTAAGTTTGGAGACTACAGGAGAGACCAGAGTCAACCTTAGAGTGATATGTTCTGCTGCTACTAGGGATGGGATATCAAAGACCCAATCATATCAGCCTATAACTATTAATACCATAAAAATATCGATAAGTAATAAATATAAATAATACCAATTCTATCTTTCTTTTTTTTTTTTTGGAAATGAATTTCCTATTACTTTAATTGCCTTGGCTTTAGGGCACCGCTAATTTTGTATCGTTCAGAGCTTCTGAAGATCTGTAGAAGTGGTTTAATATTGCTCAATATAGCCTTACATTGACACTTTCAATAATATTGAAGAAAATTCAATAAAAAAAAAAAAAAAATTGATATCAACCAGTTTGATTGACGTCAATATAATTGATGCCAATAGCCTTACACAGTCAATATATTTAGGAAACTCGATATTGACCATTATTAAAAGAAGTCCTATTGTCAATATTTTTATCATTATAAACATCTTTGAAATATCAATATAAATAATGATTTTCAAGCATATAGGCGCGCATCAAAAAAGATGTTATTCTTTTTTAAATTAATTAATGAAAATATATTTTATTATTCTGGGACTTTTGTTCCTTTAGAAAAAAGTATAAGTACAGAATATATGTCTGTGTGGTCATAAATAAATTACATATTTGCGATAATAGCTAATTAAAAGTAAAAATACAAGAAATGCGTACACATATATATGTATATATAAGACAAACAAAGGAAACTAAAATAAAAGAAATAGTTTCTGGGTGTACTTATGTAGTTCTCTTAGGTGTACTTTGTGATCAGTGGGATTGAGAAAGGAGTAGGTGTTTGAAAGAGAAAACTGATCGTGCGTGTCTACACTTTCAGCAGAGATAGTGTAGAATACCAGAGGGAGGCGGCTCGAATTGCAATTGATTAGTCAAACGCAGCAGTTCGGTGAAGAGGAGGATAGAGGTCGGAAGTACAAAATCTAGTGGGAGAGGATTGGATGGAGTATTTAAATTGTAAGCTGTGAAAAATATAGGAGGACCGATAAGTTCTAATGATCTGGTTCAGAAAGGTAGATAGGATGGATAGAGCCACTTCAACTAGGTGTGATACTGGGTAAATCTATGTGTATCTCTTGAGATCCCAAAAACAAAACGTGATGCACAATTCGTTAGGCATTTAAGTTTGGCCTCAAAATCTCCTAAGAGTCCACCATACAGCCAAAGTGGAAGTGGGAGAAAACAAGAGAGAAAAGCTATTATTTTCTATTCCAATTGTAATATCAAAACCATTATTTTATTAAAAATACATAAATTCTTACAAAATCTTCATATTTCCAAAAATCATTGATTATTTTAATAGTAATTAGAAACTTAAATAGAGGCGTTTTTGAAACAAATTAAACTTCAAAGCTGATTTTGAACCTAAAGAGATCAATTGGGGTTCAGTTTTGAGAGAGAAAAAATAAATTGTATTGTACAAATTAAATTTTTTTTTTACTAAAATTAATTTATTTTGTAATTTTCATTTGATTTAAAATGTTAAAAAAATGTTTGATGACTTTTTTTTAATTCTGAAAAAATGCAATAACATAACATTTCTTGGGGAGTAAAAAAAACAACAAAAGCCAGTTCTGGAAATAATTTTATTTTCAAACCATTTTTAAAAAAATATTTAGGTTTGTTAAAAAATTGTACTGTTGAATTCATTGGGTGTTTTTACATAAAAATCTATACCTATATCGATTTACAAAAAAATCTGATAGAGTTCACTTTAGAAATAAGAGACCCGAATATTGTATATTCTTATTAATAGTGAACTAATAGTATCCTTGAAATTCTGAGTCAGGATCGATCTTTTGAAATTTTTTGAACCTCTTCATCACTACTTCTGAAAGGAGTATCGTAAAACTGAGTACAATCCCTAAGACATATAATGTAAAAGCCAAGCCAACTGCTTCCAGTGTAACATGAGTGTATATGGTCGATGCAAAGCAATGTGGTCGTGGAGGATACCAAACCATCCTGTCTCGTTTACCCATACCATTTTCTTGTAGTCGTAACATCCTGTGACAATAAAAAGCATTTATATGATAACATTATAAAATATCAAATTAATTAGTGAAAGTGGGGCCAGGATTCAATCCTATGATCTTTACTTTACTAATATTGCGGGCTAACCACTGCTATACCCGTTGTAAATATTAATATTAGTAAATATTAATAATCAAAAAATATAACTAACACTATATAAAGACAAGGAAGCTATAATTAAACTTATTTTGAATAAATAAAATTAAATCAATTAGGAACTGAATTTATATATAAGTTGTGAGATACAAACGATTGCAATGGGAAAATTCTATCCAGAAGAAGCTCAATTTTGATGAAGAAGGGACCAACCAGAAAATTATAGACTCCTGTAGAATTATTAGTAAATAAAATTAACATTGAAAGATGTGATAATGGATAAAAATATGGGAGTATAACAGGAAAAAATAAAATAAAAAGGTAAGGTAATACTAAAAATTAGATTAATATCAAATAGGGTAATCCATGAAGGGTCTTGGATACAGAGCTTTGCAAGAAAGTACTGTTTTAAGACTAATGGTTGTGTAGGGAGGTGATTGGGCTGAGATCATGCTCAACCATCAAGTTTATCCTCTTAATTAAAAGTACCCACTTTTATAGAGGCTGAGGCAGGTCTCCTGAAATGGAACTGGCTAGTGAAACAGAATAAATAATTATCAGCCAGATTTGAATCGTGGACTTTGAGCTTGGGAAGTCAGTGCCTTACCCACCAAGCTACCTCAATCCCTAGATTATATATTAATAAGAAAAAAATGTTATAAATGTATTTATATTGACATTTCACAATTCCTGTGCGTTATATAGCTAAACTCTGTGTAGGCTGATGTTAGAGTCAAGACCCCAAAACATCCCAAAAATATTAAAATTGGCAAATTGTAAAATGGAAGTTAAATCTTTTAATTAATGACAAAAATAAAGTAAGAATCAATAATATAGATGTACTTATATATAATATTTAAACTTAAAACAGGACTCAATTGAGATCTCAGAAGTTATCTCTCAACGACATCACCTATTGAATGCTAGAGCAAGAGTGCTCTTGACTATAGCTCAAATCTTTAGTACAAGTTGAGACACCAGCCATCGCAAATTACTTATCAGATATATTATTTATAAATATATATTATTAATGTAGCAATTGGTGATGTATCAATTTTCATAAAGACTATTTTGAAGGAACAGCTTATTTATTAATAACTTGCTTGCCCCACTGGAAAACATCTCTTCCGTTTAAAAGTCAAGCAGTAAGAGTTTTTCTATTGAACTTTTTTTCTGAGAAGTAGTTGATTGGGGGGTGCGGTCAAATAAATATTAAATTATAGAAATAGTATTATTTAGTTTTTTATGCCGAAGTTTTGACCCACTTTGCAGGTCTTCATTAGAGCTACAAAAGATACAAAGTGTAAAAGTTACATGGTGAAAATTTTTATCCATACTTATTTTCTATTTTTGTTTGTATCTTCTATTTATATAATATTTGATATTTTAACTACATTGTCACCCACTGTATCTCTGATATCATCTTTTTATTTCTTTATCAGACAACTTCTTCTTATTTTATATCTACTAAGAAATAAAAAGATGATATCAGAGATATAGTGGGTGACAATGTAGTTAAAATATCAATTATTATATATATATAGAAGATACAAACAAAAATAGAAAATAAGTATGAATAAAAATTTTCACCATGTACCTTTTATACTTTGTATCTTTTGTTGCCCTGATGAAGACCTGCTAAGTGGGTCAAAACGTCGCCATAAAAAATTAAATAATACTATTTCTATAATTTATTATTTATTTGGCCGCACCCCCCTATCAACTCCTTCTCATATTATATCACGGTCAACCATCTCTACATCATTATGAACTTTTTTTAGGGTTAAAAATGGAAAAGAATATCTAATCTCATTGAAAGCTTAAAATTAAACAACTGGAGGCAACTGTGAAGTATTCCGAGGGGTGGTCAGTAGTTTCTGGGAACCCTCCATAACGATCCACTTATCACCATCAGGATTTGAAACCACCAATATTTTACAATCACTTTATTCAGAATCTTAGTTATAAGAATTTATTGTCTACTGTGAATTTCTGTTACTTAAGTCTAACATAATTTAAGTCTACTGAAAACCTTTCAATACAGACTTTGAGGCTTGCATGCAGGCAAACCAAGCTTATTCTTTATAAGATTTTAATCTGACCTGTTTTTACCTATGCCTCATAGAAATGGACCATTTCCAAAAGCAACGAAAAGGACCTAATGATTTTTTAATGGAAAAACCTGTGGGGTATTATTGGTTCGTTGTGAAATACCAAGAGATGGAGGATTAGGTTTGAAACCACCAATATTTTTCAATCACTTTATTCAGAATCTTAGTTATAAAAATTTCTTGTCCACTGTGAATTGGTGTTACTTAAGTCTAACGTAACTTAAGTCTACTGAAAACCTTTCAATTCAGACCTTGATGCTTGCATGCAGGCAAACCAAGCTTATTCTTTATAGGATTTTAATCTGGCCTGTTTTTGCCAATGCCTCATAGAAATGGACCATTTCCAAAAGCAACGAAAAGGACCTAATGATTTTTTAATGGAAAAACCTGTGGGGTATTATTGGTTTGTTGTGAAATACCAAGAGATGGAGGGTTAGGAACAGCTGTGCCAAATATATAATGTGGTCAGATTCGTTAAATTTGGGAGGCTCAGTTGGGCTGGTCTCTTGGAAGGATGAGTGTTGAAGAAATCCCGAGGTAGATATCTGAAGAGGTTCTTCATTAGGCCTGAAGAGCTGGAAGACCAACTTTAAGGTTATGCTGATGGAGTGGCAGGGGATGCAAGAAACCTCCTAGGAATCATCAACTGGAAGGTGGCAACACAAGATAGAGCCGTATTGAGGAAGCCAAGGTTTGTAGCACCACAGAAATAGGGAGTAAGAATTTAAAAATCAAAATTAGGATTTGTCCCTTCTTCATGAAATTTATTTTCTTTTGATGCCTCATTTTTCAATAAAATATATGTTTTTAAATAGAACTACTAATAATTCCCACAAAAAAACATTGCAATAAGATTTAATATAATCTAATAAATATTTTATTTTGTACTTACCCTTGAGCAATCATTTCTCTGAATGGTGAGTCTTTTCGAATCGGATTCGATAGTGGAAATGGTCTCATAGTCTCAATTTCCCTAACATTGCATTTCTCGAGATCAGTGTATGCTACCTTGAGAATCCCATATAGCGCTAAATCATCTGAAATAAGTATGAACCTCTCCTTGCGGACTCTGTCGAGGCCGATAAAGGGGTCCATCATTGTTTCTTCATGTTCTCTTGTCTTAGCGAACATTCCAGCGGTCAGGTAGGCTTTTTGACTCTGAAATAATCATTTGTGGAAAATTATAGAAATGAATAATCAAATTTAGAAATTTTAATAATCCTACCTACAGCAATGCTCAAAAGGAGGTTTGATGGCGCAATTAGCGCTTCTAAAATTTTTGAGAGGAACACATTTTAAACGGGTTTTGTATTTTTGAGAGGGGAAAATTTTGATAGGATTATAAATTTTCAGAATGAAAAGTTTTAAACTAGGATACAAGGGTAAAGCAAAGCACAGAACACTGAAAGTGCACTGTTTTTAAGAAAAGAGAGCAATAAAATAAAATAAGAAGGAGGGCAGGGAGATTTTTGTGCCATCACAATGGGGGAGGGAGGATGGGCACCCCTGCATACCTGAATGCCTTCCAAATATTTGTGTACTTTTTGACTGCTATATCAAGGAATAATTAAAATTAGTTTATTGACACGTTATGGATATGGGGTCACCAATTTCAATGACATTTTTTTGGTGACACTAGGTCGAAAAATATTAGAATCATGTCCGAGGGTTCTTGGCAATGCATCCAAGGAGCTGAGAAAAAAATATTTTATAAAATTTCATTGTTTTTTCATGTTATTGTTTTCTAATTTGGCTCGGCATGGATTTATAAGTTATTATATATCAAGCTATTTGTTTTTTTGTGTAAAATAATAAAAATATATTGCTCATTGCATTAAACAAATTAGAAGTTATAATGGAAGGAGATGGTCCGGGGTTCCTCAGCTTCCAAGGAAAATTCTTTCATCAGATTTCTGGCCTAGCCATGGGAAATTCTTTAGCACCAGATATTTCCAATATTGTTCTAAATGACCTTCTTGACTCTGTTATCCCTTCTTTTCATCAATCAACATTATTTTCATAAAAAAATATGTTGATGACCTCCTCCTTGTTATTAACCCTGACAGCATCCCCCAAATTCTTTCCTTATTCAACTCCTATCACCCCCGTCTCCGTTTCACCATAGAGAAAGAAGATAACAATTCGCTCCCCTTCTTGGCTTTAAATAAAATAGTTTTATCACTATTTAGCCTATTTGTGACCGCAACCCCGGACCATCTCCTTCCTTTATAATGCAACGGTCAACTATTAAATATTCAATATAAGTTATAATAAATTACAAAACCCATAGATGCTTCCCGTAAAGTAGGCCAAGTAAATTTTTATTATGAAAAAACGGTTCAGATTCGTTTTTAATCAAAAATTAAATTTTTGGATGTAATTTTATGGGAGGATTTTTTTTTCGTGCCATTTACTAAAATATTCATAACTCCTCAGGTTTTTTTCCTAAGTCAATGTTACTAAAACTGTTGAAAAGCTAAATTATTGCTCTTCAAAACTATATCAATAATTTATATATTTCATTCTTTTATAACGAATAAATAAATAAAAACTTCCTAAACGTTTTTTATTTTTTGTCACCGAGACTAATTTATTTGTGGGATTCTGGTCTGTGCCATTTTGTGTATATTATAGGTCCCCAAATTCAAGCTAATTTTTGTGTGAATAATTGGAGCCATGTGGCAGTTATCATAACTTTTATGATTTAAAAAAAATATATATATTTTTTTTTTATTTGTATGAAAAATCGTATTTAAGGGTTTTTCGAGATATGAAATACAAATCTCAACTTCGTTTCTCATTAAAAAAAATATTTGAACCCACTTTAGTCTTTACATTAGTTCTATTTGTTTCAATATTGAACACATACTATATCTGTATGTCAAATATATATATTTTTCTAAACCGGATGGGTATCAAAAGTAATATTATATGCACAAGATATAGTATTTTATCAAGATTCAATCCGAAAATAAGAATAAAGCATGTATTGTACATATTATACACCTATCACCCCATGAAATATATTTTTTTGAGATAAAAAAGATGGTATTAATTTTTGCACCCCTAAAAACCCATAAAAAAAAATCAGTAGATATTAAAACTATTAAATATTAAGGAACTTCATTGCAATAGGAAAATAAATGTTGTTTGCTTTACTAATATATACTATAAATCTATAAACATAGATGGATGTTATAAGAGCTATTAATATAAGGCAGAATATTGAGCAAAAATTTATATTAAATACTTGCAGAGCAAAATAAGAAAACAGTAACATAGAAAAACAATACAATTTTATTTTTAATAAATATTTTTCAGCTCCTAGGGCGCATTGGCAATAACCCTTGGACATGGGTCTAATATTTTTCAACCAAGTATCATCAGAAAATGTTTCACAGAAATCGGTGACCTCATGTCCGTAACCTCCCCTTGTGAGTAATTTAGTAGTTTTTGATGTGATACCTTTTTTTTAATTGAAGATTAATTTTTACTTACAAAAGTCGCCATTAAGTAAGGCACTTTAGCAATGCTGGCTTTCATTGTACTCTGTTGTAGTTCAAGTTCGTTGTGTATAGATGGCGGGACCGGAGATAGGAGCCCATTCATTATCGCTGCGCTGTAGTAAGAATACAGAACTAAGCCGAGGAATAATAAAGATATACTGTAGACTCTGGCAGACATTCTGTTATGATCATGAAGTAATCCTAAAAGACATTGAATACATTGATGTACTAAATAGTAAAATAAATACATAGAAATAATTAGAACATATCTAATAGTCAGTAACATTGCATAAAATTAAATTACAAAGTAATTTGATGAAATTGCATCTGCAATCTAAACCCATTTACTGATAAATTCTCATTTAATGCTTCTTCTTTTTTTTTTTTTTGCAGAACATAGATTCCAGAATAAACCTAAAACTTTACTACAAAAAATTACTTACAAAATAAACTTATATTAAGTTTAATTGACTTTATTATATAAACCTTTCTTTAAAAAGTTCTTTCAAATTTCTGTAAATACTCAATTTTTACACAAGACCTTTTGCACTAACGATAGTGTTTGTTAACAGAGCTTATAAAACTTTGTTACTTAATGATTTTACATATTTTCAGCAAAGTATGTGAGCCTGTTTAACATTGTACATTCTTTATTTCAACATGATGCCAATAATATTATAACTGTTTATAAAAAAATCTTATAAACTTTTAAAAAACCTTATTTCCTAATTATATTCTTAAAATTATTTATTCACAAACCTTATTAGAGCAAATAAAGGCAATTTAAAAAAAATATATCTGTATGCTAAAAAATGGAATGTTTTGGCTTAGTTAAATAATTTTAAAAGCCAATATTACAAATGATGTACTATTGTTTATATTCTCAAAGAGGCATTTTTCATATTTTTATTTTTATCCCAAAGGGAGGATATTTAATCTAATATATAATATATATATATATATATATATATATATATATATATATATATATATTTTTAAGGCCTCCTATATTATTGATTACAATGTTCAAAATATAAAGTATTACACCAATTATGTAATCTTTTTTTTTTTATTAATGAATATTAGTTTATACAAATTTATTCAAGAGCGAATCATTGTTTCTTTTCCCTGATTTCTTATACAGTGTGTCCCAAAATAAACGCAAGATTTAAATTAAATACACAACACAGTTGTTTCTTCTTTTGTTTCATTTTTATTTGTCAATTTAACAGCTGATAGGTTAGGGTTAATAAAAATATGGTTACACAAGCAAACAATGTGTTTTCATAGTTGAAAAATATTTTAAAAATAATTAAAGTCTTGCGAACAATTGTCTTTCGATATTGACACTTTAGCGGCTTGTTTTTGGACGACCAGTGTTTTTTAACATCACCAATTGACCCAGTCGGTTCGACCACTCTCTTCACAGTCAATGAAATTAAATCACTATTCCAACTATATTTTGTATGAAATTTTCAAACTGTTGCCGCTTGTTTAATGTTCCATTTTTATTAACCCTAAACTATCAGCTGTTAAATTGACAAATAAAAAGGAAACAAAAGAAGAAAGAACTGTGTTTTATATTTAATTTAAATCTTGCGTTAATTTTGGGACACCCTATATAAGAAATCAGGGAAAAGAAACAATGATTCGCTCTTGAATAAATTTTTATTAAATTTACCATATAAAAGATAATAAATTATTTCTTCTGGCACTAAATTGAAAACTAATATATTAGGTAATTGTATTAGTTGTTTGTTGTCTGATAATATAGAAGCAGAAAGATTGATTAAATTTTAGGCATGTTTATCATGTCCTTTTATAACTATTTTGATGACCTGTAATGTTTTCAAAAATAACCTGGATACGTTATGAATTCCATAAAAAGGATTTGGTAGACAACCTGGATACAGTACATGAATTAAATTATATCTAATTATGAAATTTCTAACAGATATAGAAATTACCTTGTTGTGACAGAATTGCAGTTACAAAAATTATGCCTTCAGTCACATCTCTATTCTGTACTAGTGAGAATATTGCTGCCCCAGCGACAATCGCAGCAAATATACAAAGCCATACATTGAAAGAAAAGGGTAATATTAGAGCACTGTATGTTCCTCTGATCCTTTCTTCCATAAATAAGCATATAAATCTTTAAAAAACAATAATTATGTTTATAAAAGTCATAGTTCTTTTAAAATTATTGATTTTGTTTTATTATTAAAATACAAATTATAAATATATAGTAACATCACTCTTGTATTTTAAAATAATAATAATAATATAACCTCAGAAAATCACTTTAAACTCTTAGGATACTTCCAAAAGAAATAAGAGGTTGTTAAATAAAAAACAAAATTATAAAAGTATTAATATATTTATTTATCTCAGGTGTGGGTTACTGACAATCAGATCAACTCAGACAAACTATTATTATTTACACTATTTATTCTAAAATTAAACATTGATTTTAAAATAAAGTCAAGTATGAATTGACAAGCTAATTTTTTTTTTCTACATACAATGTTTCTTCCTTGTGGGACTTAACTCATTTGTCTTCACACATTTTCTTATGTTCTGCCAAACAAATATCCCAAAATGGTAACACTATTCTTCCATTCAACTCAAATTCTCTGGTAAATTCTCTCTCTTGCAATTCCAAAGAACCATTCTCCCTGCCAAACAAGATCTTCTAAGATGGTAATACTATTACTGCGTTTTACCCTCTGGAGTCAGGATCCGATAACCTCTCTTATCCTCTCTTCACTGCAGTCACACGACAACTACCTGCCAATACAAAAACCTTTGTCCCTCTCCTCTCTGGGATTTTCCTTCTTGGACACTTTCTTTTCCCTGCACCAGTAGAACTAGATTAGCTTGCCTTTTAATTGTTCAAAATTAATTTATTAAATCATTTTTACCCACTTCCAATAAAGTTGTATATTACAATATATATATTAACAATTAATTATATTATAATATTAGGTATGATGCTGAAGATGGGATGGCTGAGAATGTTGGGTTCAATATCCACCTAGGAAATGAATCTTGACATTCCCATTCTAGTAGGTACATGGCGGCAATATCAACTCTTAGAAGGAAGCTAATTTTTATATTCATGGTTTCAATTTAGGAAACATAGCAATAAAAGTAATTTTAAATGTTGTATAAAAGAAAAGTTTGACTTTTTCCTCATTTTGACTATGGCTTTGTGCTTTTCCTGTTCATATTTAATATTAATGATTACCTTAAATCTTGTAACTGAGGAACAAAGTTCACAGCACGCATACGATCCTCTCTCATTGCACACGCTGTTAGACCAAAATCTGCTTTTCCTCTTTCAATAACTCCAACCATTCCTCCAAATGATCCATTCGGCAAAACATAACCCCAGGTCTCTGATGGAACTATTTCAATTCTGTTCAAATTAAATTTTATAATATTTTTGTTATGAGAAAATAAATAATTTATTTGAAAATGGACAAGTTCTTAAACTCAGCGCTAATTCCATTGATGAAATCTATCAATCCATTGAATCCAGCACTAATGGAGAGTGAATTATGCTGAGTCAATAAACCAAATACCTACTATTGAATTATTGAATTTCATAACAGAAATAAATGAAGATAGAAAGTAAATTGAATATTAATATGTAAAATAAATTGATAAAAATCAACGCTTAGGTTACATCCAGCAGTTTGATTAATTAATGAAATGTTCTGAATACTTTCGATGAATATTCTGATGCCATCAATGAATTCTGAGTTTAGGAACTTTCCCTCTTAATAGTAAAGCAACATTTAAAGTTTATCACTTTATCATGGGTGATAAATATTCAGGACACAGTTATTATAAAGTTTTTACTAGTGCCCCAATCTCCGACAGTCTCCGATACGTCATGAAGAAGCCAGTTGCAAATGTGGTTGTGGTATCGGATTCCCTAAGTACTCTGAAAGCTATGAATAACATGTATCCAGACCATCCATTGATAGATACACTGCATTTTAAATCTTACAAAAATGCTTCATGAAGTTGGAACAACAGCACATTTTATCTGGTCGCCTGGTCATATAGGCATTAAAGGAAATGAAATGGTTGAGAGAGTAGCAAACGAAGCTCTTACTCTTCCATGCTGCGGTAAAGCTTTTTTGACACCGTTTGAACTTGCACCATATCCAAAGAATAGCAAAGACAGTGGGACAACAGCGCCTAGCAAATTAAAGACAATAAAGAAAGAGGTGCAACTGTGGACCAGCTCCAGACGCAGCAGTCTTAGAGAAGAGATCGTCCTCACGCGGCTGTGTAAGTGTCTATTGTTATTTTTATTTATTTATTTTATTCTATTAATCCTTTTATTTAATTATTTTTATCCTTTTTTTTATTCTTATTTTTTGGACTAACCATCCAAACAGTAAAAAGTAGTAGTATTTTGTTGATCGGGCGCTGATGACATGGATGTTTTTGCGCCTAGACATCCAAACAAAGAACTAGTGCCCCAAATAGCCACTCAGTACTTAAATACCTTCAGTGCTTGAAACACGTCCTGATGATGACCCACATGTTTGGGTTAATACGTCGGCACTAATAAAAACTTTATAATGACTGCGTCCTAAATATTTATCACCCATGATATGTAGAACAGTCAATTAACTTCCTCCAATAATTTGTCACTTTATGTATAATTAAATTTAATTTTTACGGTTTTACTAAAATATTTTATATTTCTAATAATTTCACACATTGAAACAGAATACATGAATGATTATAATCTTAGAAATAATAAATATAATTAAAACATAAGATTAATGTATTGTAGTAAAATAATAATTTAATGAATTATAATAAAATTAAAAATAATTTAGACAACTTACTCAAAATTGTAAAAACTAGCCAGGTTCTGAATATAAACATAAGCGAGTCTTTCTGATGTTTCCCATTCGGGATAATAGCTGTAATCACCAATTTTCTCTGTCATATTATTCTTAAAAAACTGCAGTTCTAACTCCTGTATGCAAATACAATAGAGGTGTTATGTCAGTTATAATATTAAAATATAATAATAATGTAAGTTTGTGTATAATTATGTGTAAATTTTGGTTTACCAGTAAAACACCTTTGAGAACTGTTCCGTTCAAGTCATATCGGTGCTTGCTGTTTGGCATGGAAATCTTGGGAGGTATCCAGGTACCAGCGGAAGAAACTTTCAACTGCCGCTTTGTATTATTGTATAAATCCCACAGCAAGCCATCTTCGGTACCTACTACAACATCGCTGTCCAACCGAATTTTTGTCAGGTTCATATTCAGAGACTTCACAGGATATCCAAGCCATATACCTTCAAGACCATTTATCTAAAATTTATAATAATAATAATAATAATAATGCTTTATTTATTCTGGGACGAGTCCCTTTAGAACAATACAGAAAGACAAAAATGTGGGCTAAGGAACCTCAGAGATACATAAACAAAAATATAGTGTAAGTGAATAGTCAAATTAAAAAATAATAATAAAAGAAATTGTAAGTTACTTTCTAATTTAAATCAGTTAATAATAAAAAAAATAAAAATTGAAAATAAACATAAAGTAAGGATAATGAGGAACAATCTGATAATTTATATACATATTTACAATTTCATGGGGACTAGATGGATAAGAAATGATTGAACAGGCGAGTTTTAAAGGTAGGAAGAGTTTTGGATTGACGGATGTCGGGAGGGATGGAGTTCCATAGGGATGAGGATCGGATAATGAAAGATCTGTCGAAAGCAGCAGTTCGGTGAGCCCTTATGTATAAATCAGAAGACCGGGAACGAGTATTGCGGGAACGGACAGAAGATTTAAATTGAAGGAGCTCGGAGATGAATGAAGGACGGTGGGATTGGATGACTTGAAAGAGGAAGGATGCCAGGAAATACTTACTACGGTAGGAAGGATAAAGCCACTTCTACTCTGCATAAAAACAGGAAACAGAGGCGTCCCTTGGGATCATGAATATGAATCGTACAAAGCAATTTATCAAACGTTTTAGTTTCGCCTCGAGATACCCAGAGACGCCCCCATATACCGTACAGCAATAGTCTAAGTGGGGAAAAATTAAGGAAGTTACTAGGAGCCTAATTGTGAAATCACTGAGTTATTATATGAATGTTTACTCCTCAGTTTAATTTTATTTAGAATATGATTAGGATGACAGTCATACGTTATAAAATACACTAAAATTATTAAATATTTATTTTATTTTTTTATATATTTTACATAAATCTATAGTTTATAATTCTATCCATTTTCTATAGTAATGTATTCATATTCTATGTAATATGTTTATACTTCAAATTAAAATATTATATACTTTATAAAATTGTATATGTAAGTAATTTTATAATACAAAATATTTTATATTAAATTTAGTAGTTTCATACCTAATTTTTTTATGTTTAAATGTTAACCACTACCAAGATTATATTCTGTATTATCTATTACTTGCAACTATTCTATTAATAATTTAAAATTAATGATTAGTAAAAGAGGGAATATGTAAGCTTAGTGAGTAAGGCACTGTGTTCCGGATTCTTGATTCGGTTCCAGCTTTGTCAAGTAATTATTTATTGTGTTATATCAACCATGGATCATAATTGTGATTGATAGGCCCTCCTGCGTCACATTCAGTTTCAATTCTTAACACATATTTGTCGGCATGACGAAAATTCTAAATTTCGCAAACAATCATCAATAGCCAAAATCGTTTTTAATCATAAACGATAATTTTTTCATTTTTATATTTCAATCCAGAACTGTTAACTACATATATTGATAATCAGCAGACATGTTGGCTAAATAATGACAGCAGAAAACAATTGATTTTGGTTATTTTAATTCTAAATAAATTATATTCCAAATAAATTATATTATATTCCATTTATCAAAGATAAAGAGATTCCAGCATTTTGTGAATGACGGCGCAAAAAATTATTGGACAAATATGTGTTAATTAAATAAGGGAAAAGATCTGGCAGTTGAGCATGATCTTGGTCAAATCACTCACTTGCACAGCTGTTGACCAAGGATCAGTACATCTTTACTTAACCCAAGAGTAATATTTCAGTGTTGTAGTGTACATGTTATTTTATTTATTTATTTTATTTGGTTACTAAACAAAAAATAAAGTCTTTTTACTAAAGTATCGCCAGTCACATTTAGTAACAATTACTTTTAGTAAAATAATAGGTATTATTTAATTAATAGGTATTAGATATTATGTAGAAATCATATGTCATAAAAGAATAAATGATTTATTAAAAACAATCTGCATCTGCATCTGTCGACGACTATTAAAAATCAGCAGATGGTCCGATTAAAGTAACGAAACTGACATGTCAAGAATGAGGAAGGATAGTACCCAGTAGTACCTATTCTCTGGCTTGAATGAATTCAATTCAATCTTTCTTTGTTTTAAGGTAAGAAACCTATACAAATGGTATTTCAGACCTAACCAACAGACAATTGACATCCCAGCAAAACGAGTTAAAAGAGCAGTGACACTCTGGGGTTCTACGTAGAACTTAAACTGTGTTGATGGAAGAATAAACATGCCTAAATTACTCTCTTTTATTAAGAAATAGTATAGAAATTGATATTAATCTTTAAATGCCAGTTATCTACAACATAATTTTGGTTTCTTAAGTGGAACCTTAATTAGCGCATTAGTATACTTACGCTCGGATTTAAATATACATGTTTTTTTTAAATAAGTCTATTTTGAATGAACATTGGCATTGATATTCATAGCCAAAATAAAGTTTGAGATAAATAGTAATTTAGAATTTGAATGAAGTCCAACCACACTAGATACTTAAGAGCGCCAAAATGGTCACAGAAAACAATTTAAACTGGAGAGAACGTTGGTTCAATCTTTGCGTTAAAATATTAATAACTCTCATGTATTGGTAATATAATTACAGGGCATTTTACATGCTTTAAAAGCTCATTGCTGATGTAACAATTAAAGCAGTCCATTTAAAATAAGTAGTAAATTTCCATCACAATTTATTTAGTTTGTAATCTATTGGAGAAAAAATGTGAATACATACCGTTCTGAAAAAATTCATATTTTTTGTACAATTCAGATCAATAAACCATCCCCTGACGTAAGGTGGTCTTGATTCTTCCTTTTCGTCAAAAGTATGATGTTTAATCTGTATCATGTAACCAAGTGCGTTCAAATGTTTGAGCAACCATACGCCTTCTAAAAAAATAATAATAATTAAAGAAGTCGATAGATTTTATAAAAACATTTAACATTTCGCTCATAAAATGACCTTTTAAATTGAATATATGAAACTTGAGAATGATAGATTATGTTTTAATTAAATATCTGTGTTTTTATTTTCTGTATTACCCAAGATAAAAGAAATTTAGTTATAGACTAAAAAGAAAATGTTTTGTTAACAAATTATATGATTGCTTGAATTCAATAGCCATGAGTTCTTCCAAGCTACAGAACTGATTTTGACAAAGCTCTTTTGGTTTTTCAGAGGAGGAACACAATTATCACCATGAAAAAAATTTAAAAAATAGAGCTAGATAAAGAATGAATTTCAAGCCATTACTCTATTATATAAATACCGATATGAAATGACTTAGGATATTACGGGAACCTTTTATTTATTTAAGATGAATTACTTATATATATATATATATATATATATTAATATATATATTATATATAGTTTTTTATGGACATACCTTAATTTCCTCTGAAAGTATGTCCGCAAAAAACTTTGTTTTGAAAGATTTTCATTGTTATGAATTATTTACGTTATATTAACTAAATAAAACTTATTTATTTGTTCCATGAACATTAAATTCAGATTAAATGTTGTTCAAAGTGATTTCCTTGAGCATTAAGACAGGCTTGGCATCTTTCTTCAACAGCAGCAGTGGCAGACCGCCATTGAATATGTGTTATTGTTCCACAAGATTCAATTATCCATCTTCGTAAGGAATTAAGGTAAGTGACCAGACTTGCATAGACGTTTTGTTTTATGTCACTCCAAACAAAAAAATCCGTATACAAACAACATATAGGCATATTCACCATTAGTATAAATGGAAGGCATAATGATGAGTACTCTGCGAAAGCCTTTTACAAACTGATAAATGTTATTGAGAGTTCTCAATGCTAATTCCAAATGGTATTAATACTTATGTTGCCAATTGTTTTTATGCAGTTAGGAAAAAAAGGCGATATTCTATCTAATCCATCTCCTAAACAAAGAATTTGCGGACATACCTTCACTTTGAACAACATTTAATATGAATGTTAATGTTTACATTTAATTAATAAAGTAGTTAGATCAAATAAATAGGTTTTATTTATTTCATATAGTGTAAATGATTCATAACAATGAAAGTATTTAGGTGTGAATATCTCCTAAACAAAACATTTGTGGACATACTTTCAGAGGAAATTTTTTTTCTTGTTTTGAGGTCTCTAGTTCATTCTTGCAGTTTGACCAATAAATCCTGAAACATCATGTATATTTATACAAAAAATTTTTTTATATATATATATATATATATATAAATTGTACATCAAAACCAATATGAAAGGACTTAGGATAATGTTGAAACACTATAAAGTAATGCTTAAAGGCACTGAAATATCAGTAAATAACTACCATGTCATAATTTAGCAAATTCAAGTATGATCAAGACAAAAAAAAAGATAAAATCACTAGGATAAGATACATATTAGAGTTAGCACATCTCACATCAATTGTCTAAAACAGATAAATGAAATGTTACTATTATTATCACTCCAAGACAAAGGAAAATATATTTTCTTTGATTATCCTCGATTGGTTATAGATCTTTCAGTAATATACTAGCAGTACATTTTATATCCTTTTTTATGTTTATGCTCTTCTTAATTTAGTGAAAATACAGAAAATCTGTTCAATTTTTGGTTAACTTATCACCGAAAAACTAAATTTGTGTCATGACTTTTCCTCTTAAACCTTTAGTTCAAAATGTTTCTAAAGCTCAGGTACACCTTGAAAGGCAATATAGAGCAATTTTATTAGTTTTTAATGAGTTATATAAAGGATAATTTTATTATAAATTAATTTAATTTAATTTTAAGAATTTTTGAGGTAATCTAAATATTATGATTATATTTGATTTATTCCCTGGATTCATATAAAAATACCTGTCAAATAAAAATTCTTCACTTAAACAATCTTGAAATGTTTACTAGTAACTTAGATATTATACAAATTTCTTATTGTAAGGCATTTATTTTCTTGAAAATTTAAATGCATTTGCTTGAACAGGATATACATTTAAAGAAATTAGTTCGAAATGAATCTAGATAGATAGAAAAACAACTTTATTCTGGGAAAAAGTTCCTTTAGAATAATAAGATTGTACCAAAACAATAGACTACTTCTAGCTTAAAAATTTGCAGCAGTAAATAAAATTAAATAAACAAACAAAAAAGTAAAGAAAACGTTAAGTGAACAAGCTGTATATAAAACAGATAAAACTATGAAAAAAAATACTTAAAACTAGGAACAAAATATTTAAGACTATATATAAGGATAGAACAGCATAAATATACACTTTAAGAAATGAAGATAGAAAAAGAGACAAAGTAAAATAAGTTCTGAAGATAGAAAAATAAAATAAATTCTTCTCATAAAAAAGTTATAAGTTTTTACTTATAAAAATGAAAGTTGTCTCTGTCAATATAAATCTAATTATGTAAATGCTGGATGAAATGTAAATACATCATAAGAAGAGCGTTATCATCAGTTATGGAAGATACAAGTTGGCATTATGTAGTTAATCTATGTAGTCAAATTAAACAGTATATATTTTAAAATCTAATTCTTTATCTGAGTTATCAATTAGATGATAAATTAATTGGGTCAAGTTCTTTCATCAAGAAAATGTAAAACCTCCTCACTTTATAATAATCAAAAAAGATGAAATTGATAATATTTCATTAAAAAAACTTTAGTATATCTTTGAAAAATTGAGAAAACTAAAGAAAAAAACAAGAAGAGTGGAGCTATTATTTCCTACCTTCATGATTACAAGAATATATGTTTATAACATTTGTAGCTCTATAGCTAAAGTATGTTGTAATTATTTGTAAAGTCTTGTTAATGTGTCTCATGGAATTTGTTGAACCAATAAGAAGAAATAGGATTACTAGTGAATGCATATTCACCACTGACTCTGGCTGTTTGAGGTATTGATACTTCATGGTCCAATAATTGTGCTATTTAAGATAATTATTGTGTCCTTTCATCAATTGATTAAATATTCATCAGGAAAGCTTTGATCCAATAATTTCGAACAACATACCTATCAACAAAGCCTTTTATAACATGAGTATTTTCTTTCTGAGGCTAGAAATTATTTTATTTTTCGAATGAATGTCTATTACTAAAAACAAAGGGCTGTTAAGTAATTTACTTAACATTATTTTAATGTCACTGAATTATTACTTACTATTAGTTTTTAGTTTTTTATATTTGTTTTATCCTTTGAATTAGTTTTTTATAGTTGATAAAAAAAAAATATTTATAGAACTTAAAAAATTACTATTATTATTAGAAAGTTTTCAAAAGTGCCAGTTTTTTAAATGTCTTTCTCTCTATTATACACAAAAGTTTTTGGTGACCAATTATTTTACTTATAAAGGGTCTCTTGTTCAATATTGAGTTCCGTGTTATATATTCACCATGTAAGGGTTATATTGGTATCAATTATATTGCTGTCAATCAAACAGGTTTGTTTCACTTTTATTGAAGCTGCTTCAATATTATTGAAACAGTGTCAATATAATTGTCCATGTAAGAGCTACATTGAGCAATATTAAATCATATATATGGATCTTAAGAAGCTCTGGGTGATACCGAATCTCTGGTGCCCCTGTTGGTTAGAGTGAGGGGACTATGTATGTTTGGGTAGATAATCCTTTTTTGGGGGAGAGAGGGGAGGGAGGATTAACTCTACTTAAAATGTCAACTATATTTTTTCAAAAGACAAAATGACAATATGTTTGGGTAAGTGGGTGAGACTTTGTTTTGCTTTTAGGGGGTGGAGAGAGGAGAGAGTTAAACCCTCTCTTTTCCAATTTTTTTTTGTAAAGATAAAATGGCAATATGTTTGGGTTGGTGGGTGATACTTTGTTTTATTTTTATGTTTTTTGAGATAGTTACCCTGCACTCCGAATTTATTTTTTTTTACAATAAAATGGCAATGTTTTTGGGGAGATGGGGGATACTTTTTGGGGAGAAGGTAAGGAAGAACTTCCCTTAAATATTTTTTTTTAATACAAAATGGCAGCATTTTATGCCATTTAACTGTTTCATTCAAAACTTGATTTTTATACAAAATTTAATAAAAATTTGTTTTTTATTACAAAACTTTTTTAAATACTAAATATTTATCAAACAAGAACAAAACCAATTTTTTTTTCTATAAAAAAATGTATTTGCACCTGTTAACTTATTGTTGACCTTCAGCAAATGTGATGGCGATAATGATATAATGACATGACAGGCATGGGGAAGGAAAGTACTCAGCAGTACCTCTTCCCTAACTTGTTTCAATTACTTAGGTTGTCTAAGGAAGGAGATCCCTCATCCAACGCCTTTTTAGTATCCTCCTCATGTTCTGAGATATCTCAGCTGTGGCCATGTCTCTTATTATTCTGTTATTATGACCGTTTAAATTTGTGTAAAATCTTTGATAAAGGGTCGTTATATGTTGATCAACGGTTGGAAAGTGGAGGTCAAGTACCCAGGTGATTTTGTTATGAGTCGCAATAATTTTGATTGGAACGTTTTAAGTTTTTGTAGGTGGGTCTTTTTAGCGATTCCGTATATTTGTCATGAGTATGTCCATATGGGCTTAAGTAAGTATGTATATTCAGTTTCTGTTTTAGTGTCCCATTTGAAACTAGAAACGTTTTAATGTCTGGAAACAAAATTAACACTTCAAATAACACACACACACACACACATATATATATATATATTCTTTCTTTTTTTTTAAGCCAAGGCAATTAAAGTAAAATAGGAAATTCCTTATTATTCATTTCCACAATAAAAGAAAGATTACCTCTTTGGAAACCTCCTTGTTTAATGGAAGCAAGGTCTTAACTGATATAATATTGACTCGATATAATTGACCCGTGTGATCTACCCCTTCAATATATTGCCTCCTATTATATTTCTTCAATAATATTGATTCGATGATATTGACCCTGTAAGGGGCACTTAAGGTGGAATGCCAGCAAAGCACTGCGGTCGTGCGGGTTTCCGGATTTAGCGCCCTAATCTCATGTAGGATTTTTTCTAACTTTTTGGGGTGTAAGTTTTTAACTGTTCTCTTTTTAAACTATTTTTCTTACGTGCATATTTTTCTTTTTTATAATTTGTAAAATTGGGATTTGTCCGCAGTTAGGTGGACAAGGAGTTAATCTCTAGTTTTCCAATAAAAAAAAAACTTTTAAGAATTTTTCATTGTAAAAAAGTATTCGAACAGTTTGATAAACCACAAAATTTACCTGGTATAAAATTTGACAAAATAATGTTTCTTTGCTTCTCTTATTTCATCTTCACATTCTCTTATATCATCTTCCTTACTAATATATATCTAAATCATATTGATTTCAAAATAGTAAATAGTATTGACAAAAAAATGATTTTTTTTTTTCCAAAACTTAGTGAACTTTCTTTATAACTAAAATATTTTCCCCGTCTAAACCAACAATGTCGCCAATCTTGTGCTGTGTTTAGACATCTCACAAGCTGTGGGAAGCAGAAACGTGGTGCAGGTGTGTTTCTCTGGAAGTTTGTGTTTGTGCTTGTGTCGCTTTTACATATTTCTTTACTGTTGGGATTACTTGAGAAATGTTGAATAATTGAAAGGTTGTTGGTATGATTTGAATGAATTTTTATCATTCAACACCTTTCATTTTGTTATGTTTCCTTTCATTTAATTTATAAATTATTATAGTTTGATGCAGTACCGAATCCAGGATTTTATTTTATTATTTTTTTTTGTGGGGAGCTTCAGCACAAAAGATTTTTTAAAAATATATAATAATAATGATATTTAAAAAAAAAAGAAAAAAACTAACTATCTACATGAAATGGTGTTTAAGTGATTCTGGAAGTCCTATTTAAATGTAATTAGATTAAACCATCCAATTCCTCTCGTATCCAATCCTTGCAATCCAAAATCCTTCGTAAAATCCTCAATGCCCCATATTTTGTCACAAATGAAACCATTCATAAAGACCTTAATGTTCCAAATGCCACTGATTTAGCCCGAACCAGATACCTATCCTTTCATGATGAACTCCAGTACCATCCGAATCCATTTGTTTCCAGCCTTGCTTCTTCCTCGATTCCTAATAATCCTTCTAGGCATCTGAAAAGAAGATGGCGTCGTGATCTTCTCACCTAGAATTAAATAGGGAGTGCTACCACTGGGCAGTATCTCTTCAAGTCTTCTTCATGTTATCATTTCTAATGTGTGCATGTTTACTAGTTGCATTGTTAATACAGTTAAAAATTTCATTAAATACATTTTAAAAAATGTAATTAGACAAACAATAATACTTTTAGAGATAATTTTTTTCATAAAAAATAAGTTATATTTTATTTGTTTTATGTTTTAGCTTCAGCCTGAATGCTTCTCCTCCCTCCCCCCTCGAAAATCCGCCAGTGCATTGGTTGAGCACATCGTATTTCCAACGTCCGCCACGTTTGTTCTCTCTTAATACAGAAATATTTAAGCAATGTTTCTTTAGTTTTTTGTTTTCGCCTGTTTGTTTTTTTTTTTTTTGTTTTTTTAATGTGTAAACCTGACTTTAAAGTAATGCAGGCTGAGCTACAGAGTGGTGATCGAATCGATGTTCTATTTCAGTGATTTTGATAATTGCTGCTTTCTAGAAATCACTGACCTATTCTTTCTTCAATGCCACGCGATTCTTTGATTTTCTAAACGGTGACATTTCTTTCTATTTATCTACCTTTCATCGAAAATGTTTAATAACGGCAATAATCTTTGCTAGTTGGTTAACCTCTTCAGTATTTTGAATAATCACACGTTTATTATGGATAAGAGCATTTAAAGGCAAATAAGAAGACGAGTTTCGAATTTAGTCTCTTTTCTGCCGTCACATTTATTAGGAGTTCTTCAAATTGAAGTTGACACACTTCTTTGACTCTGCAAGGCTCCCCTCAGTTAAGATAGCCTTTGGTTCTCGACGAAGCCCATTCAGGGCTGTATAGCCATGGTCTAGGGCAGCCATGGTCGACAGCAGCGGTGAACTATTGTTTATGTAATAGATCATTAGCCTTGCTTCTCGATCTTGGCAGGTTTTCCATAAACTAATTAGACGCCTACTTCTATTTCGTAGCTCCATGTCGATGGGTGGAGTCTATTTTATACCTGCTGCCAGGTCTTCCTAGGAAAGGTAGTCCTAAGGTGAGTACTGTAAAAAACCTTAATGTTTGTGTGTTTTTTTATATTTTGCTGCTTTAGTGAATGGTGTAGTGTACTCAGGAGCCCAGGGAGCGTAAGATCATCCATCACAGTAAACCGCATCCATCAGTTACCCCTTGCGGGCAATAGTTAATTATTATTAAATAATCCAAAGATTATATTACTATTATTACATTTTAAATATTATTTATGTATTATTTATATTTTTTTTCATATATTCTCTCTATTTTCTTAAGTATTTGTTTTTCTTAACGATCTAAATGAACAACTAGTTATAAGTGGATATAATGAAAATAATAAATTTCAAACTTGTGTCATCTATTTTATTTCGTACGGTACAATTAATTAACGAGAAACTATTTTTAAACAATCTAAGAATAACAAGCTTTTAATGGAGCAAAATCATTTAAAGTTTATTCTTTGCATTGAGTTTTTGATATCTTTACCGTAGAAATGGACGTGGCTGAGTTTTAAATAATTTATTTGATACCAATTTATATTTAAAAAAGTATTTCAAAAAATTTTCCGATAGAAGAATGAAGCAACTCAAGACAGCTCCTGACAGAAACAGAGTGAAGGCGAGGCCGACAGCTTCCAACGTGACGTGTGTGTAAGTCGTCGAGCCCAAGCATTGAGGCTTCGGGTGGTACCATTTTCGCATTTCGCGCTTCGCTATTCCGTTCTCCTGAAGGCGTAAGGTCCTGGAATTATTATATAAAATCAGTAAATCACAAAAAATATAAATGGTTTGTTTACTTATATTTCAGCACATCACAATAATGATAGATTTTTTTTTTAAGTGAAAACTTCTTTATGCGCGTTTTGCACTTTTATGGAGAGTGGATTAGATTGATTCGTGAAATTTCGTTCGGTATTAACGCTTGGGTAAAGACTATTTTCAATAATGAACCATTGTGATCGACCAAAAAATTCAAAAACTTAACACCTTCTCAAAATTTTAGATTTACGTTTCAGGATACGTAGAATTCTTACTTACTTATTTCCGGTTTTCCAACGTGGGATACCTCTTCCGGTGAGAGCAGAGCTCCACACATCTCTATCCTCCCTGTCATCCTCCTGTAGACCTCGGCCGGCCATCTCTTCTCGGACTCCTTCCATCCACGTGGTTCTCGGTCGTCCTCGCCTACGCTTTCCGGGTGGCTGCCAGTCCAGGACTCTGTTCGGCCAATGCTCTTCCGATATTCTCCTGCAGAGCACATACCACCTCAATCACCATTTCCCGATCCTCTCAGAGACGGTCCCCTCTACCACCTATTCTCTGTCTCACCACTTCATTTCGGACTCTGTCCAGCCTAGTTAATTTTAAACAACTTCTCCAAAAATCCATTTCTACAGTCTGAATTTTGGCATACAAGCTAGCATTCATCGACCATGCCTCACATCCGTAGATTAATATGGACTCGACAATAGCCGTGAAGGTACGCCGCTTGTTCGCGTTTGAAATAGTGTGCAGTTTGAATATGCAGTTTCAGACATCCACTTCGGACGTTCCAACATCGTCCAGATAGCACCCGAGGTATTTAAATGCCTTTACTCAACTGCACACCTGTTCACCTATGCGTAGATCGTCTTCCTCATCTCCCAGTGCCATAGAAACACATATACTCAGTCTTTTGGAAGTTTATCCCGAGAACTGCCTCTTCAAAAACTTTCTTTAATTGGACAACCACCATCTCCAGGAAAAGTTTCTTCCGGGCCATCACTGCTTGATCGTCTGCGAAGAAAAGGGTAAGGAGCTCGACTTCGTCAAAATAAATACGCAGAATTCGAAAAACGAATAAAAATGTCTGTCCGCAGTCCACGCGTTTTCTCCGAAACTACTGACCATTTTTTTTTTCAAATTTAGATTTAAAATCAGAGGTCACCCGAGGATGATCCTCCTTCATCAACATTGCTATCCATCTTTTACTTTCAAAATAGCGGCCGTAAAACCTGTGTTGCTATAGCGCCTAAACCAATATACCGATTTCAATGAAACTTCCCTAAAGTCTTCTTCTCGACGCCCTTTTATATTTATCTATATAACATACTTCAACGGAAAGAAGCTGGAAAAAAAGTTACGAGGGATGGTAAAATTGAATTCCGAATAACTCAGAAAGTATACACTTTTTGTCGATATTGTGTATGGTTATTTAAAAGTTTTTTTTTTTTTTTTTTTTTTTTGTACATTCTACTGCAAAGGTTATATCCTTTGTTAAGGATTTGAATGTATTACTGAAGTGATGCTAGTTTTTTTTAGCATATTACTAATGATTAAAAAAACAAGTTTAGTCCAATAATTGGAATCACCTTTTATTTCTTTTTCTTAGTCACTAGGAAGGTAATGTTACTTTGAAATTTGTAATTGTTTGGAAATAATAAACCATGGAAATAATTTGAAGCGTTTTTATATATGGATTAAAATATCGCAGAAACTAAAAATCGGACCTGCATAAAGTAAGAGAGGAAATTGTTCAGCATTTCATCCACTCTGTAATGGACTATAATTTAAAATTGTATCTTAACGCGGCGCAGTGTTAGGGAGGCGAAAAGGAAAAAATGGTGTCGAAAACCAAATGATAGCGAGTTTAGTTGAACATATTGATTAAAATATTCCAGGTACTAGAAATCGGACCCTAAACTTGTAAGCGAGGGAAATGTTCAATATTTTATCTTCTTTGTAATAAGCTATTATTTATAATTTATATTTTATGTTATTAATCTCGCCTTGCTGACGTTTTTACTTCTATTGTGTGGTCTAAAGCACACATCTTAGTTGTTTTTTTTTTGGCTTGAATACTCGTTGAATACTCAAAGCAAGTCCTATTTTGCCAATAAAATATTTTAATTATCCCTGTAAGATCAAATTAAACTGGATATTTATTGAATATTTCCGGAAATATGATAATCGAATGTAACTTATATAGAACTTGAACAGGAAAGACTAATATTTAAAAACTGATTTAACAGTAATTTCACAACAATCAAATGAGAATAAGAGGCGTACTTTATTATATAAATGCTTTTATGTCATTCAAAAACTTTACCAGATCCCGAGCGTTAATTTACCGTTATTTTTATTCATCAACCGAAGAAGGTTAGCTCCATCATCCATAGTTTGTGATACTAAACTTATTTTTCTTCGTTTCGGACTTAAAAGTAATGTGTCTTGGATCCTTCAGACATCGATCTTAGGTATCTAGTAGATATTTGTTAGTTCTACCATGATTAATCCTAAGTCTGGTCAGCTTTACTAATAAGCTGGAAGGATCGGACGAGACTTAAAAGTCGCAAACCATGTTACCAGAGCTTTTTTTTTTTTTTTTGCTATTCTTCTCTACCTCGCCTTTTAGGCTATACGGGATTTACCCAGGCCGGGGGGGGGGATGAGGGCGGGGAATTTAAAATTCCCCCCGGCACCGCGAAGCGAACTCGTACTTTTTAATTTTTCATATCTGTTATCTGGTTGCCCGGTAATTCACAGTGCCACACCGCCACCAAGACAGCACAGAGTCGAGAGTTTAGCGTGACCTACAACCCCCAAATTGTCAAAATAACGAGGTTATATAGGTCAAACGGCTCAATATTTTTGAAGGCTACCTTTTTTCTCGACTTTGTGGTCAAGTTATCTTTCGATTCAAGTTAAAAGGAAATGGATATTTACGAGTTTTTAGTACATAATTAAATGGAGAAAGTCTGCCTACCTCCAGATTGAAAATGCCCCAATTCCGAGAATTTTCGTAAATAAAATATTTGTTGGTTAGGATGAGATGAAGCTATTTACGAAGTTTCAGTCGGATGTTAATAATTTGATAAAAAGGAGCTTGTACCACGGACTAATCCATTTGCAAAAACACTTTAATTAATTGACTAGAGCCGAAATAACCCGAATGGCCGTTACACACCCGAGCCTGACGGCTTAATTTAATTCACTACCCACAAAAAGTGCAAAGCGCGATTTTCAACATAACCTCCCCTTCAACGTTAGGTACTTACCCTTGAGACATCATTTCCCTTAGAGGAGAGTTTTTCTGAAGAGTATTTCCAAATGGAAATGACCGTATTACTTCGATTTCCATTAGATTGCATTTCTCAGCATCGGTATATTTCTCGTTTATGACGGCATAAAGGGACATATCATCCGCGACCAATGTCAACCTTTCGTGCCTTATCCTGTCGACTCCGACGAAGACGTCCAACATCTGTTCACTCTTCTCCTGCTTCTTGGTCTTGGCCAACAGCCCGGGTGTTACGTAAGCTTTCTGATTCTGGAAAGTGATATTAATGTCAGTCTTACCATTTATCGAATGTGGAAGGGTAAATGCAACAGTAGCTGACATGCTTAAGAAAATTAATTTGAATTTTTAGGTGTTAAAATTAAATATAGATGTTATTATATTTTTCGTAGATTCATCTTATAGAACTATTTCTTCCCTTACCAAGACATTTTACGTGTGTGATGACACGTGTATCCTATCAGTCAATAATGATTCATCTATTGCATCCCAAACTCTCCAATCACACATCACAAGTCTAGAAAAGTGGTGTGAAAACTGGAGGATTAAAATAAATTCCAATAAATCGCATCAAATTACCCTTTACCTTCGTCGTAAACCAATGACTTCCTGTCCTACAGTATCCTTCAACAACAGCCCACTTATCCCTGTTGAACAAATCCGATACCTTGGACTCCACCTGAGCAAACGACTCACTCTTGGAATCCTCCTACCAGACTGAAATGACTAGAAATCGCCCGACGTTTTTGACTACTCCAGCACTTACTAGACAAACGCTCTAAACTTCCAACTATTTACAAAAGACATGACTGCAATAAGGCCTACATGGACTTACATGATCGAGCTATGGGGCTCCACTAAACCATCAAATTCCTCTCGTATCCAATCCTTATAATCCAAAATCCTTCGTAAAATCCTCAATGCACCCTACTTTACTTTATAAACCCTCAGTACTTACTATTTACAAGAAACCAATATCTGTTAATAATATAAATTAATGTTTATTTTTAGATTAAGTAGATTATTTTTAGAGTAAGCGGAAACTGCTCGATGTGTCCGCTTATTCCAACACATACTAGGCAAATGCTCTAAACTTTCTATTAATTACAAAAGACTAATATACATGACTATAATAAGACCTATTTGGACTTACGGAGTTGAGCTATGGGGCACCACTAAACCATCAAATTCCTCTCATGTCCAATCCTTACAATCCAAAATCCTCAATGCTCCTTACTTTGTTACAAATAAAATCATTCATCACGACCTTAATGTACCATATGTTTTCGACATAGCTCAATCCAGATACCTATCCTTCCATAACAAACTTCATAACCATCCGAACACTCTTGTTTCCAACCTTCCAACATTTCCAACTCCCTATCTACATTTAAAACCCCCCTATTTCTATTTCTGTCCGAAAAACAGTCAGATATCCCCGCTAACTTTTTATGTAAAATTAATCTTTCTTTTTTTCTACAGAAACGCAGAATTTATTGCAAAGAAGAATGTAATGTATTTTTTTTTTCTAAAAATGTATATTTATGTTTTATCACTGTACATACTTTTAAGTGTCTTGTATATAGATTTTTTTTTATTTTGTACATAATATGTCTAACTAATAATTTATTTCTCTCTATTTTTACTTTTTATGTTTATTTTTATTTAGGCGAGATATAATATTTTAATTTTGTACTTTTTTGTTATTCTAAAGGGACTTTGTCCAAGAATAAAATTATTTTCTATTCTATTCTATTCTAAAGCAGACAAATATGCAAGGCGAAAATATATAAACCAAAAATATATGAAATAGAGGTCCTGAATTTTTTTTATTTCCACTTTACGAGAAGGATAATATACACTGTCATGGGTACTGTCATACATCATAAACTGTCATACATTGGTATACTGTCAGCTATTACCCTCTTACCTGCTCTTACCCTAATAGATAGTCATCATGCTTACTACTTTAGGTATCATGTAAGGGACCCTGGCGAGGCTGGCCTTCATCGGACTCCTGATGACATCTTTGACGTTGCGGACCGACCCAGGAGCCGGCGAGAGGAGGCCGTTCATGATGGCGGCGCTGTAATAGGAGTAGAGGACCAGGCCGAGGATCAGCAAAGAGATGCTGTACACCCTCGCGGAAATGCTGCGGTAGTCTTTCTGTAGCCCTGTAAATCATTCATATCCATACTAAAGCCTTATTTATCATTCATAATTATCGTATTATACTAAGTAAATGAATGAATGTTTAAGAACATACTAGGATGTTCGCACAACTTATGGACAGGAGCCCAGTGATGGAGAGGTTAGACTTTAAATGCAAATAATAAGCTTCCTTGTCGATTTAAAGGCTCCAGTTTTTTATAGATTGAAGAACAATTTAGTGTCCTCTTTTAGTCTCCACTGGATTCCCGTGATTATGAAATTATGAATTACTTGAACCGCAGGGAATTATCTGCATTGACGAATTAGAGGAAACTCATTTTCAGTGAGTGGTTAATACAGTGGATATCTTCTTCCATGTTTTCGGCTCATCCATACATAAGCTTATCCCGAAGTTCTGTAGGACATCTTCTTAAATAAATATTTACTAAACTACACACACACACAGGGATGCCCACAGATGGGTTGTATGGAGCAAGTTGCTACATCAGAGTTTTTTGGAAGGGCACATTAACTTTTCAATTTAAAGAGAACGTACTAGAAAATAAAGGAAAAAAAAAAGTTTCTGAGGTTTGTGTGTATATAAAACAATATCTTAGGACACCTCATACTTGGAAAAACGGCAGATATGACTTTATCCGAAGTACTCAACACAAGGTGAGCAATGTCTTCCGTATTTCAAGTTTCAGCATTAACTCATAGTGCGCCACTTGTTTGAAATATCGGTATGCGGTACCTTTATTGTCTGTGTATACTAAATACGACTAATGCCTTGTCTTTGGCTATAGAACACGGAAACAAATTTAAAATAAAATAGCAACAAATAAAAAACTTATGAAATATTATCATCAGTGACAGGTCGTTTCAACATTCTAAAAGAAACTAATTAGATATTAAAGACTAATTTCTACATTCTCAAGTTTATTGCCCGCCTATTTTAAAATAATGTAGTCCCTTTTGACAACGCTCTTGCAATTATTTCAGATGAAATCCTGATTTAAAATATTTTATGAAATGTAAAAAATATTTTAAAACAAAATAATGACGAATTCCTGCCCCACTCAGAGAAGGGCAGGGGGGGGGGCTTGCCTCCTCTAAATATTAATAATGCTACTTGTTGATTGTAATTGCATCATGTATAGTGCCTTAAATATTTTTGGGAAACAAACCAATATTATATCTACTATCTTTTGAAATAACATTGATATTGCATCTAATATTAATTATAAGTGGGGGGAGGGCAATAATATGTTTTGGGGGGCATGCACCATCGGTCTTGGGGAGGAGGGATCTTACTACACAACCCTTTTCATCAAAACTATTTTATTCGGTGAACGAAAAAAAATGCACCTAGCTTACATGTTATTTAATTTTAAATTACCTTGTTGAGATAAAATGGCCGTTACGAAAATTATTCCCTCAGTCAAATCTCTTTTTTGTAAGAAGGAAAATATTGTGGCTCCGACGACAATGGCGATGAAAACACAAAGCCACGCTTGGAAGGAGAATGGTATCAACAGAGAAGAATATGTGCCGTGGATTCGTTCCTCCATGAATATACATATGAATCTGGAAAAAAATCATAAAGTGAAATAATAAGAACCGTGATCTACTCAAGTACCAAAAATATAGAATAATAATTTTTAACACTTTTGTGCCACATAAAATATTATATGTAAAAGTAATGAAATGAAATGAAAAATAATTTTTTTCTGGAACTGAAGTCTCCTTAGAATAATAGTAGAGTTAAAAAATATGTACATCAGTCTGGCTTGTAGATATCATATCAATATATACAAAAAACTATAAGGAAAATCTAAATATATATATATATATATATATATATATATATATATATATATATATATATATATATATATATAAATACTTATTATACAAAGGAAAATATAAATATCTCCAAAAAATACTAAGGAAAAATTCAAATATATACAAGAAATACAGAGAGAGAAAAAAGAGTGAATAAATAAAAATAAAATGACTCTTATCAATTTACTGCTGGAGATCAACCTAATTATATAAACCATAAATTCTTACAAACTTACGGAAGTTTGAATTTGTAGTAGGTGGTGGAATAGGAGTTGTTTGAAGGAGTTTATGGAGGTGGTTTGACGTATGGAGATGGGTAAGGAGTTCCAGAAGGAGGTAGCACGAATGACGAAGGGTTTAGTGAAGGAAGTTGTTTTATGGAAGGCATTAACGGATCCAGGATTTAATTTGGGGGGCTTCAGCCCGAAAGATTTATTTTTTTATAAATATATTAGGATAATGACTTCGGAAGAAAGAAAGAAACTAACTACCTATATGAAATGGCGTTTAAGTGATTGTTGAAGTCTTATTAAGTGTAATTAGATGAACAATAATACTTTTAAAGATAATTTTTTTCATAAAATTTGGTTATATTGTACCATTTTTGGGGAGGGGGGAGCTTCAGCCCGAAAGTCCCTCTCCCACGTAGGCTGAAGCCTCCTTCTTCCCCCAAAAAATGGTAAAATATACAGAAAAGATATTAAAAACAACCTCTTAAAGCATTCTTCTTCGTTTAACTACATTTAATGAGACTTCAAAAACCCCTTAAACACCATTTGATATAGGTAGTTAATTTCTTTCTTTTTTAAAACAATTAATTATCGTTATATGTATATGAAAAAAAAATCCTTCGGGCTGAAGCCTCCCCCCAAAAAAACAATTAAATTCTGGATCCGCTAGTGGATCCACCTGTGATGGAAGAGGATACATAAATCTATAAGTTGAGATCTGGTGTAAGAGTAGCATAAAATAATGAATTCAATGATAAGTTATAATGAGTTCAATGATGTAGGGAGGGTTTTTCTTCTAAGGACTTGGAAAAGGAAAAAAAAACAAGAAAGAATTGCCGTTAGGAAATAGGATAAAGCCACTTCAACTCGGTGTGTTAACCAGGAAACATGAAAACGTTTGGGAATCCCTAAGATGAATCTTATGAAGCAATTCATACGTTTCTTTAATCTCGGCTCTAGGCCTGTGGGCATCCCTCCATACACAATAGTTGAAGTGGGGGGAAAAAGGATGTTACGAGGAATTACCTGTTTTTTGTTTTGTTTTTTGGAATGTAATCACAGAGGCTCTGAATGAAGAGAGGCTCTGATCAAAGTATGCAAACGTTTTCGAGTAGTATTTTAAAAGATTTTTTCAGATATTTTTTTCTCCGCATCGTTTATATGGTTTTACATCGCAAGTGTTCTCATAACGTATTGTCTATTTTTCAACTCGAACTCTAAATCCTGAAGCGTATACTTGCCTGAGCTCCTGTGACCTCTGAGCGTAGGACACCACTTCGACCCTCTCCACCCGGAAGGAACACGCTGAGATGCCGATGTCTGCTTCCTTCCTCTGCAGGATCCCGATCATCCCAGTACAGGACCCGTTGGCGAGGTTGGCTCCCCACGTGTCTGTCGGCACCAAAACGAACCTGCGAACCAACAGTTCTAACAGAATATTATTCTATCCTTTAAGTTCTTAGAAGTTCCAGATTAGTAATATTCAAGAGGAGTTAGTTGCAAGCCCACTCTCCTTTAATGAGATGGAGGGATTGGGTTCTCAGATTTTTCAAACTAGTCTATCCGTGACAGCCACTCACCGGTGATGATCCTAGGATTTGTAATTCGAGATGTGGAGGAGTTGCCTACAAGGGGTTTCATGGGGCATATTTTCACTGGTTTTTGAATATTTGAGAGACCAAATTTCTACTGGGATATGAATTTTCAGAACTAAGGGACAAGAGGGAAAACATGGAACATACCGCAGCAAGTGTAATTGTATAAGAATTTTCTAATTCTGCCTTTGCTTGCTCTGTTTATAAGAAAAGGTTAGCAATAAAATATCTTGGGAGAACTGGGAGGTAGGTTCTTACGGCATTAACCTAGGGGAGGGGAGATGGGCGACCCTGGGTGTTGCTATTAAGGACGAAACTGACGCTTTAAAACATTTTATTTTGATCTCATGCATATAAATACATAGCCTTCTCTATACCTACAATACTCCATCTGAATCTTCCATTGCCTGAAACATTGCTTGAAGTCTTCTGTCGTCTTCCTTAGGATGCGCACAACTTTATCTTTCACAACTTCAATGGACTCAAATCTTATTTCTTTTAATTCAGTTTAACGAATAGTGTTTATTTCCTTATAAACTTGAAATAAAGGAACAATCCATAAACCAGAATTGCTCAACATTACAGGGAGCCTAAACAGCAAATCGAATTTCAAAGCAATGATGATTGTTTCTTATTTGTTTTTTCGATATTCACGGAACTGAGCACGTTTATTGGATTCCGGAAGGTCAAACTATTAGTCAACTCGATTATATTTACATTCTGGCCGAAAGGAAAAGCGGTACGCATCCTACAAGAATATTTCTAGCATTATTTCAGATAATGGAAGTTTCGCATTGAGCGTATTAGAGATAGAGGAGGTGCGAAGATTAAAGGTGTTAATAAGGGAAGTGTGTATGAAATCAAAATAAAATGTTTTAAATGCTTCGTTATTAAATAGCCACACATTATATAAAATCTTTTTCTACAACGAATGATGATCTGGGTTGAGTACTCTGTGAATTTTTATTGTATTGTAAATGTTCCTATAACCTGCAAAAGCAGCGTTCTCATAGAAGAGTTCATAGAAGAAGCTAAACGAACTGGAAATGGCTATGAACGAATTGAAGATGAAATACTTAAGAATAAAAACAGCAGATGGGGAGGCTAGATTGTTTAAATTCGGTTTATACAGATTTTAAAATGTATACAGTTTTATAAATCTGGATCTAAAAAAAGAAAATGCATATAATGACATCTCTCAGATCTAGTCCGTAGTACAGATCCCTTGGTCCAAATCGAACTAAGCCTGAAACTTCGTAAATAGCTTCATCTCATCGTAACCTACTTTTATTCAAGAAAACTCTTGGAATTGGGGCGTTTTCAATCTGGAGGGGGGTAAACTTTGTCTGTTTAATTAAGTACTAAAAACTTGGATCGTAAAATAATTTGATCTAAAAAACGATAAAAGTAGCCTACAAAAATACTGGGCTTTTTGGCCTATGTAACCTCGTTATTTTAATATTTTTGGGGCGTAGGTCACAACAAACGGCTCAATTTTTTTTATGGCTACATTTTTTCTCGATTTTTTGCTCAAATTATCTTAGACAGGCGTCTTTTAGAAGATATCAATAACATCCAACTCAATCCATTCTCGATTAAATAATTTATTGTTGATTATTAAATCACTTACCCAAAATTGTAGAATTTCGCAAGGTAAGTCACAAAAATATAAGAAACTCTTTGAGTCATTTCCATATCCGGATAATAATCATGATCTGCAATTTTGTGTGTTATATTATTAGCGTAGAACTGCAGATCTAATTCCTGAAATAATATAACTTTAATGAACGATGTATATGTACAATATTTTATTATAACTTTAAAATATCTCTCATTAAGACATATTGTGAGATTTCTCAAGATGGTAATTGTAATTTTCTCGGTTTGTATAATTCTTCATATAATTATATCATAAATTTTATTGCCGCTAAACTCCATTTTCACAACTTTATCACGGGTTTAAAATTTTTGAGAGCGGAAGGGTAACATTTTAAGTTTTTGGACTATTGCAATGGTTCATTTTGAAAATAATACATCAAAAATATTTGAAAACCGCGATATCTTTATTTTATTTTATTTTTTTTTTTTTTTTTTTTTTTTTTTTTTTTTTTTTTTTTTTTTTTTTTTGAAATATTACATTCTGTCACATCAAGGACATTTATAATAGTGTTCAGAGAAAGCACACTCACATTCTATTTCCAATAAAAAAAAAAAAAAATAATACAGAAACTTAATAATAATAAATACAATAAATAAAATAAAAATAAATACAATAAAATAAAATAAATGTATATAAACAAAAGAACTAACCTAATCATACACACTCGGGCTTGAGTGGAGGATCTGGCCATTGCCAAAACTCCAATAGATGCTTATTTACAGAAGGTCTCTGGGCCACTGCCGCTTCAACCTTCGAGGAGGATTGTAAGGATGGGTGGTGCTGGATAGAGATTGTGCAAGGGGATTTGGATGATAGGTAAGGTTCTGGTGAAATTTGGAGAATTTTTCTGGAATAAGGTCTAGGACAAATGGGATATTAAGGTCATGGTGTAGGATTTTGTTATTTACATAGAACGGAGCATCAACTATTGTTCGAAGGACTTTAGATTGAAAGGATTGAATACGTTTGATGTTAGAAGCTTTTGCTGTACCCCACAGTTCAAGTCCGTATGCCCATATAGGTTTCAGTATTGTCTTGTAGATAAGTAATTTGTTTTCAATAGAAAGTTTGGATTTTCTGTTTAGTAGTCTGTATAGCTGGCCGTATCGTCGGTTGAGTTCTTGTCTTTTGAGTCTAGTATGTGGGTTCCACGTTAGTCTTCGGTCTAAATGAAAGCCAAGATACCGGACTGTGTCTGAGTAAGGAAGCTGGATGGAATTAAAGTGTACTGGTGGACAGGAACTGCGTCGGAGTGTAAAGGTAATGTGTTGGCATTTAGATTCATTAACTTTAATGCGCCAGTTATTACACCAGTGCTCAATCAAGGTGAGGTGGTTTTGGAGATTTAAGGATGCTATGTTGGGATCTGAGTCGGATGATAGAATAGCGGTGTCATCAGCAAAAGTTGCCAGGAAGGTATCGGGAAGGACAGGGATATCGGCGGTAAAGAGGATGTAAAGGACGGGACCCAATACGCTACCTTGAGGAACACCTGCCTCAATTAATATCTTTATTAATAGTGCTCTGATTTCGATGAAACTTTTTTATTTTTTAGAAAATTTAAATATCTTTTAATCATCAGATTAGAAAAATAACAAACAAGTGTATACTTTTAGAGTTATTTGGAAATCTAACTTTATCTCCCCTCGTAACTTTTTTTCCAGCTTCTTTTTTTCTAAGTATACCATATAGATTTAAAAGGTTTGGCAAGAGAATACTTTATCCAAGTTTAATTAAAATCGGCACATTCGTTCAGGCTATACAGTCTGTACCAACACAGGTTTTTTAGCCGCCATCTTGAAAGGAAATACGGATAAGTAATGTAGAGGTAGAAAAACCAGCTTTGGGTGATCTTTGACTTTGATTCCAAATTAAAAAAAAAAATCGATTCAGTAGTCTCGGAGAAAATGTGCGGACGGCGTACGAGAAAATATTTTTTTTATTCTATTTTCTAGTTCTACATATCCTAAAACACAAAACCTCAAATTTCGAGGAAGGGATAAGTTATTGAATTTTATTAATGATTACTAAGGCTCATTATTGAAAATAAAGAACAAAAAGCATACTGTTTTAATGTCACATCGTTCACTTAAATATACATCTTCTTATTTATCTTTTTATAGGAAGTCTACGTTTATAAATTTGTTCATAGTTAAGGCAATAATACTTCCAATTTCCTTCAAATCCCTTTAATCACATTTATTATCTCTAACGTTTCGGGACAATTTTCCCATCATCAGAGCAATCCTTATCTTCACTGAAACTATGCACATTTTAAATAAACTATTTTTACAGTACCAATCTACTTCATCTATTGTACAACTGAATCTATTGTACAGCAAGGTAAATAATTGTACAATAGATGAAGTAGATTGGTACTGTAAAAATAGTTTATTTAAAATGTACATAGTTTCAGTGAAGATAAGGATTGTTCTGATGATGGAAATTTTTCTCGAAACGTTAGAGATAATAATTGTGATTAAAGGGATTTGAAGGAAATTGGAAGTATTATTGCCTCAACAATGAAAAAATTAAATATACAGTAAATTATGGTAGGTAGATTGATTTAGAAGTTACATTAATATTAATTTATCTCAATAATATTCCAGAAGAAAATGAAGATTGGTCAAATAAAACAAAACAATTTGTAATATTTAATTATTTAAGGTTCTAAATGACATACCACCAGTACGCCTTTTAGTATAACTCCTCCTAGATCGTATCTAAATTTGATTTTGGGTATAGATATGTTTACTGGTCTCCAGGTTCCAGCATCGTTGAAGATCATTCTCTCCAAAGGTTTGCCGTACAAGTCCCAAAGTCTTCCGTCTTCGGAACCCACCAAAACGTCGCTGTCAAGCCTCAAACTTGTCATGTTAAGTTTTGGCGCCGAAGAAGGATACGCGAGCCATATTCCATCCAACCCTGAGATCTTGATAAAATAAAGATATAAATATAAAGATTAACTTTATAAATATTTTGATAATGAAATACATTTGTAAAATTCATAGTAATCTATATTAATATATAAACCCTCTGATCAATCCTGATGTCCCCAACATCATCTAAATACCACTATCTGACATGTTGAACTTGAACTGTCTGGTACCTTAGGGTCAGAGAACGTCTCCCAATTTGTTGAGTTCGGATTGGTTCATAACCAATAAACCCCAACAAAGTTCAAATAAACCAATGGTAGTTAGTTACCTGGCTTTTTTACGACCTATTAAATCCCCAAATAATCAAACAAACAAATATATAAAGTTGAAAAGGTTGTTTGTATATGGTCTATCTAGATTACATCCAAGACACCTTCCGATCTTAGATTAGGTTGTTTTCCACTAAATCTATAGATCCAGTAACCATGTCATAATAAGGGGGGTATAAGTTGCATCTAGTGGTTTCATTTCTTTTTTTTTTATGTGAAAACTTCTTTAGGTGCGTTTTACACTTTTTTTGCGGAAAGTGAATTAGATTGAGCCGTCAGATTTCCGATGTGTAACGTTTAGGTAAAGTCTGCTGGAGTCGATTAATTAAAGTGTTTTTACATGCAAATAACTCAAACCTAAAAATTGAACCTGCATATTGTAAGCGAGGAAAGTTTTCATCATTTCATCGTCTTTATAATGAACTATTATTCGCTTAACAGGTGAAATGAGAAAAAATATTGTCGAAAACCAAGTGATAACGAATTTTATGTAAGATATGGATTAAAATATCTCAGAAACTAAAAATCGTACCTGCATGCTGTAAGCTAGGGAAATGTTGTGCATTTCATCCTCTTTATAATGAGCTATTATTTATAATTTATATTTAATATTATTAATGTTGATGTTTTTACTTCTATCTTGTGGTCTAAAGCACATACCTAAGTTGTTTTGTTTTTTTAACGGGATGTGACTGAGATGCAAACGACATGTTTTCGACCTCGGTAATCTCTCTCCCCCCCCCTGAATCACTTTTGAATATTCCAAAAACTGATAAATGTTCGAACTTTTTTTTCGGATTTTTCCCACTTTGACCCTGAAGAGATGCGTTTTATAGACAAAAAAAACAGTTTATTAATTTTTAAACTTGATTACATTTATTATAATTTGAGACCACAATAAGCTCGATAAACCTAAAAGGTTTCGAACTACAGCTTTTCCAATTTTGGAAAACTTTACAAGCTTTAAAATTTTAAGCTATAATAATTTTCATGTTTTATTATTCGCAGTTATCTTCATACCATAGTTACCATGTTGAAGTAATGAATGTGAACCTTCTCAACATTAAATATTCGTTAACATGGTGACGACGATATCTTCAAAAACCTATATGATACGTGTCAGTGCAATAAACATTTATTTAACATTTTGAAGGGGAAGAGGAGAAGGAGGGAGGAGGTTTAGTGAGAGAGAGGAAGTTCACTAGTCAGAACCTGATGACCAAAATAGAAATACACAATTGATTTAACATATATTAAAATCGGGATAATACAAAAATTGTAAATGAAGTGACTTAAAGTGTAAACGAAATGTGAATTAAAGGTATTCCTCCAATTCGAAGGACTTCATATCCTTCAGAACAATGATGATCGTCCTCGATGTGATTTCTTGTCTACACTTGATGTAAGTGTTTGTCAAAAAATTTTGTATCAAAACAGTGATCTTCTCCTCCCCCACCAAACCCAAACCCCCACACTCCTTAAAAATGTTAAATTTAATAAATAAAATAAAAATTCTGTAACGCATTTATAAGTAATAAATAACATAGTTATAATAATTTCTTAAACCTTACATTGCCAAAAAATATCATGTTTTTGGTACAATTGAGATCGACAAACCATCCTTTTATGTAGGGCAATTCAGGAAATTCCTTATCTAACAGATTCCTGTTAATCCTTGCAGAATATCCTTGATTCAACAAATTTTTCAACAACCAATGGCCTTCTGCAAAATAAATGTATGATGATTAAGTTATAAGAACTTTATAATGTTATCTTAAATTCACTAATACTCTGCGATTTTAAGATGAATAATGAGATTCTAAGAGTTTATTTGATTTCTTGTTGAAATATTAATATTATAGTTATAAACATTTCTTATTATTAATTATAGTGATGTTTCTAGTGGTAAACTTTATACCTTTATTCACAGTTCTATATTTCGACACTGCAATTACCTACTCCGGAATTAACTTACTCACTGTCTGAGTAGATATTATAAATTTTCCAACTATATATATCACTCAAAAATGTTGAAATTGGAGTTAGTCATTCTGTCAACTGAAAGTGATGTCTCTGATCACCTTCGATACAAAATAAAATTCGATAAAAAGTTATTTATTCAATCTTGAAACTAATCAACGTTAATTGATAATCGATTTCTTCGTTTAAAAAAAGTTGGCATTTATGATTTCCCTTTCTCTTCCCCAACCAATAAATAAGTTTCATTATTAGTTCCCTATCTTCATTCGATAAGGTTGTACGTAACTAACAGTTTTGACAACAATGAAATTACAGGTGCTTTGGACTCTCCTCGTAGATTGAATATGATTTTATATTTTAACAAGTTGTAACTTTCATAACTCTCATCTTTGTCGCTTTCATATTCATTTAATCTGTGAGAATGTTTTAACTGCATTTATAATTTTTTTTTAAACTTTATTCTGGGACACAGTCCCTTGAGAATAACAAAATAGAACAAAATTAAAAGATTACATCTGGCCAAAATAAAATCAATCGAAAAAAAGAAATAATGTAAAAAAAATATAAGGTAAACATTCTATATACAAAACAAACGAAACTATATACAAAACAATTAACGCTATGACAAGACACTTAAAAGCTATTTGCACTGATAGACCAGTATACACTTTTACGAAAAAAATAAAGAATTAAAAAATAAAAATGTATCAAATTCTCTATTAAAATCAGCTCGAATGGTTAGCAACTATCTGACTGTTTTTGGGATAGGAATTGGAATAGAAGGGTTTTGAATGTGGATATGGATGGGGAATGTCGAATTTTGATAGGGAGGGAATTCCAGAAATTGACAGAGCGAACAATAAAGGAATTTTAGAATGAGAGAGGTCTGTGAGAAGGCAGGTAAAGGTTAGAAGGTCGAGATCTTGTGGACAGGGAATGGACTGAGGATTTGAACTGGAGAAGGTTGTAGGTAGGCGTAAGAAGGACGATGGTTGTTGATGATTTGGTAGAGGAACGTACCTAGGAAATATACCTAGTCTTCGGAAGGAGGGGAAAAGCCACTTTAACTCAGCGTAGTGGTGAGAAACATGGGAGTATCTTGGGCCCCGATCACAAATCTTACGCAGCTGTTCATTAGTCTTTTCAGTCTATCGCGGAGCTCCACAGAGATACCATCATACACCAATTTGTATAAAAATCAGACGTATTTTTTTTTTTTTTTTAATTAATCATCTCCAAGAGTTGAGTTGTGAAGGGTAGAAATGTTGAGAAAGCATTTATAATGATGATAAAAATCAACTTATAAATTTAAAATATTATAGTATTCGGCATTTTCCCCTCCCCTCTTCCAAAAAAATAAAATACCTGTGGTATATATCAATTTATTTATTTTTTCCTCACTATTTATTTGTTATTATTTATATAATTAAAGAATAAGTAAACGATTTGGAATACAAGGTCTTTTGTCCTTTTTTAATCAATTTATTTATTTAATTGATTTATAAGAAAAATATCAAAAGATGAAGAAGGTAGAAAAAAGGAGTAAAATATGATGATATGTTGCCTAGTTCAAAAAGATTTTTATAGTCACATATTTAGTATGAGAATGAAAACTTATTTCAAATATACCTGACTCTGAACAAGGGAAAATATCTATACTTCTGACATTTCTGTAACTGAAATAAACATTTATTATTTCGAAATAATCCATCATATTTTTGCATGAATATGTTGAAAATTGAACAAATAAGAAGAAAACTATGAGACGCATTTCTCAGCCTGATTGCCGACCAAGTAATTGCAATCTCTGTTAAATCACAACATTCACTGAACTGCCCTTTTACGGGATAAATTACGGGATGCCTTTGATCGAATATTCATGCGAACATGTCAAGCTTAAAGTACCCTGATAATTTGCTGTTTGACATCCAGCCCATTTCGGCTTGTCTTCCATTTTTACATGACACGAAAAAAGAAAAATTACCTAATTTGTGTTAGTCTCTTTAGTTCCATTTGCTGTGACTGTTTCCAAGCAGATCTTTTATGGAAGAAAAGTATTGATTATTATAATAATCTAAGATGTTCACGTTTTGTTTTCCATCAACCAAATATTTCAATAAAGTTAAAATATTGAAATCAATCTGTGGACATATGAGAAATTTACAAGTAAAATGGCAACACCTTCAAGTAATAATTTGTCAAGACATGATTGTATTGTTGTTATTTGTTTCGATTTATTATGAGATAACAGATGAATAAGACGCAAGGTAGAAAGTGTGTTTACTAAATAATCTAGCAGATAATGATGTTATTTATTGTCAGCCCAATAAATATATGTTTGTTATTATAAATAAATATTAATTATGATCTAAATATGTAAATACTTTCCTCTTACCTCTTTTCATTTCTCATTGTCAGCGTCTTCTTTATAATCTTCATAGTTATATAAGGAGACTGTCTGAGAATATAAATTAAAACGTTATGTTAATCATAATTTCAAAACTTTCTTTTAAATTTAATTCTGTCTTACTTTTTAGCTCAGTTTTACTTTAACTTCCTTATATGTGCAATATATAGTAAGGGAAAGTATTACGATAATGAAAATTTTCATTAAATACTGAGTTTTCAACGGAGATACACGTTTTGAGGTTCCCTCAGTCCAAATTAACAAGTCTCGCAAATTGGTAAGTCTAGCTCAAAAATGAAACTGATAATACGTACTTAAAATAGGTATATGCCTTGGATGTGACAGCAACTTTTTTCGTTAAAACCGACCAATCGGAAGTGGCACTTTATATCAACGGTTATGCAAATTTTTATATTTTTTTCAAAAAACGGCTCCAACGATTTTGATTAAACTCGGCGTATCATTATATATAAAGTGTTCTTTAATATCATTAAGTTCTTATCCATATTGATGTCAGTTTTCAAGGCTTAAATGCTTAAATGTTCAACATGTTGTTCCTCTAAAGTACCTTTAATTTGGTTTATTTTAAATAATTAATCTCTAATATTAACTAACTAGTATTGAGAGCAACGAAAAAAATGCTAAATATAACTTTTGAAATAATTTGATCATTAAAAAATGGAAAATATTTATTTAGGTTGGAAATGAATTTTCAGAAATACAAGTCTGGAAATACGTATAATATATCGTTGGAAAGCAAAGAGTTTTAGAAAAATAATATTGAATAAATAACGTTGTAGAAGGTAACGGAGAGTGGCGAAAAAAAAACTAATTATTAATTTCAGAGAACTAAAAGTTAACTTAATCACAAGTTTCTAAGGAAAATAAATGAAATTTTCTTACTAAATGTAAAATTTTAAATATGCTTCTATGTTTGAGAAAAAAAAATTTTTAAATCCACCTAATCAAGCCAATGCCATTGTTTAAAATACTATTTCTTTGTACTAGTGTAAAAGAACAAGTGGAATATAAAAATATTTAATGGATATGTTATAACCTTAAATACATTTGCTCCAGTTTAATAACTCTAGATATGATATTATATTTAAATAATTTAGTATCTATTGGCCATTTATTCCAAAAAAATCATCAAGTAACCTTTTAGAAAATAAATCAGTAAATAATTTGATGATTTTCCCTTTGTTAAATACCAACACTATCCACTTACAATTAGTGTGACAACTTTTGACTTATCCATGGCATGCAATGAAAATCTCGTAATATAATTTTAGTAAACTTGACAATGGGAAATAACATTTTGATAACTAATAGTCCATAATCATTTATAGGTTAAATATTCAGATGTACTTTCAAGTGTCTCAAGACATATTTGAGCCTTTCTTTAGAGTTTTTCAAAGTCCAATTTCACAACAATCTTTTTTATTAATTTTAGTAATGTTTCTACTGGCAAAATTTATAGCTTTTAGACATTTCACAAACAATGGGAAAAGAATGATCTAAGTTAACTAACAGCGAAATTATTGCTAAACTAAACTATTTATTTAATTTCTCTTGATACCGACAGCAGATGGAAAATATCAAAAAGAAGGAACAAAAATATTATTATAGTGAAATAACCATTTAAATATTTGTTTGTCTCTGAGTTTGTGAAATGCCAAAACGCATCCTAACATTTTTATTATTGTTATATTTATATAATCCTAGTCTCATTTGTACGTCCTATCTTTTTCTTCTCTTATCCTTTTATATAAATCTTTTTTCAGAAGTTTTTTATTTTGTATATTTTAATTTTTAGCCTTGATGATGACTTGTATGTTTTGGCCGAAACGTCGGAAACTTAATAAACACAATTTTTTTATTTAACATTCTAACCATTTTTAATCCTTACAATTTCAACATTCAACTACATCTCTATTTTTTACTTTGCTACTTATACTAGGTAAAGAAACTATTGCAATCGGTTAAAATTTCCGATATGCGGTTTTCGACGGATCTATATGTTTCAAAGCATCCTGAGTCCGAAAAACACATTTTTAGCCATTGGTCTATCTGTCTGTGCCAAGATTTTTTCGAGAACTACTGAACCGATTTTGTTGCTTCTTTTTTTATTTTGCAGGGTTTTGACTAATGATGCCTGTAACAGAAATTCGGTGCTTCATACGCAATAACTTGCGCGCAATAAATGAAAAACATGTTTTCCATAGATTGTAGCGCGAAAACGGCTCTAACGATTTTGATGAAACTTGCCTATAATGTTCTAATAATTGTCCTTTTAATTTTCGTATATGGACTCAATTCCCGAGAAAATTCAGGAAGTTATAAAGAAAAGAAAAATGTTATGGGGCCAAACTCCCTAAGTATATATTATATGGTAATATTTATAAGAAAACTTTTGAAAGGTAATTAAATTACCAACAAAACAAAAAAAAAATAAATAAAATCATCGGAATCGAAAGCTTCACTATTTCCTCTACTTTTAACAGAAATTATTGTTTGATACTAAGCTATGGCAAAACGTTTTTGATCAGCAATATTAGAGAGTATTGAAAGTTTTACACTGATCTACCTTAAGCTGGATTACATTGCTTTAGTTTATCAAATAAATCGTACTAAAATCCTTTCTTTGATCAATTTTCAGGAAAATATATCTAGTTCAATTTTTTTTTTTTTTTTTTTGTTTCTTTATGAACATGTAAAGATATAACAACTTTTCTGGAATAGGTAGGAAAGTCATGTGAGTGGATACACCAGATTTTATTTAATACAATTTCTTTCAAGAAGAGATGTCTTTTTTTCATAATTAGTATTATATATATATATATATTGTAAAGTCAAAAGGGGTACATAAAGCAAGTATTTAACAGAATCCAAAAGTAACAGAAAGCAAGATTTTTACCTTTAAAGGAGATTGTGCAGAGAACTGTACATTGGACATCAATTTGTCTATTACTTCAATCTATCCAACATTTGTATTTTTAAAATCAGATATATAATCCTCATTTTCTTAATAAATTGTTATTTTTCCAATAAATACTTCTTGTTCTTTTAAAATGCTGAGTTCTAGCAAGACCATGCTCCACATTACTTTATCTAAACTAAGATAGGATACGATGTATCGATTTAGTCCACAAACATCGATGCATTAGTTAACGATGCCATGCCTTTGTTGCTGATTGTAACAGTGGGTGAGGTTAAATTTGAAAATATAAGTTGAAAGATGTGGCTTATTTTTGTTATTTTAGTTTGGTAACGCAATAGTTTTTTAGTTGGAATTAAGTCTATAATTCCCATTAAAATGTTCGTTTTAGCTGAATTTAAGGATGTTATCAGAACTGATCCCTCTCTTTTTGGTTTAGACTTATGTACGTCTATGAAACAGTTTTTAAATGAAAAATTCGCGAACAAGGTATGAAGAAACATGTTTCTCTTTATTTTTTGTCTCTACTTTGGACAATGCCTTATTAGTTGCTGTTTTTGTCTAGGTAGTTGCGAAAGTGGGCCTTTGTGTTGCACTTTTTGATGTGCTGTCCATGGATGATTCCTATATTTTCCCTGGAGATGGAGCAGCTCATACTAAAGTAGAATTTCGTTTTGTCATATTTCGGCCTTTCATGGAAGAAATCATTGTTGGAAAAATTAAAAATTGTAGTAAAGAAGGTGTACATAGTAAGTATCCGGGATTGATAATGTTTATTAACTCTTTTTTAATAATTGATAGTGCGTTAGCTAACTCAAAAATGGCTATTGTTTTTTTACACTTCAATCGGATATTACAGACTATGTTCCTCGGACATGTTATAAATCAGATAAAGTGCATTTCAAAAGTGTTACGTCAGGTTAATAAGTGGGTCAAGATCACACTCTTCATGGAAAGCTAAAAGTAACAGAGCGTGTCTGAAAATTAATTGGAAGGTCTGATCTCAGTATGACTGTACAAATACCACTCCGCCTTGTCCAGTGGGCCAAGTTCACAATATAAACCGAATTGTGAAAATGGTCCAATGTCTTCAAAATTAAACGGAAGTGATTGAGCTTTCTGGAAAGGTCCCAACTTCTATCAAAAAGGAGTTCATTAGTCTCTTTAGAAGCTTAAGTCGGAAGCAGCAATGTAATTAGCGTTAATTTGTCCTAATATAACTGAAAAAGGACCAGTAACGAGTTTGTGACATACTAGTATACATGAGTTCTACACGGATTACACATGGTTCACAATCACTTCGTTCACACTTGTTCATGGAATCATGAAAACAGCCAAATGTTGCCGTCAGCTATTGTTGCCCCCATCACACAATCGCTTTTCATGAACTTTTGAAAAACCCGTGTATTCCCATCATAGAACTTCCTTATTAATGAATTATGTATTTACTAAATTATTTGTTATTCATATTGATAGGTAATATCTGATTCAGAATATCTGTAACTGATGAATAACCAAGAAATCATCTGCGAAAACTCATCGAATAATGAATAAAATGTATCTATTAATCGTTATTTATTGAAATAATACCCAATCAGAACGGAACCCGTAGATTTGCCAGTTAGTTGGACTATACTGTTACTTATAATTTATTTTCTCATTCTAATTGTTATTCTTTATATTGAATGAATTAGCTGCGTAATTATTGTTTGTAATAGTTATTTTGCTTAATAATCCGAAAATTAAGACTTATTGTCATTTGTAAAAAAAAAAACATTGTGTTTATTGTGAGCAATTCATTAATGTATTGGAGAAACAACTGACAAAGAATATCTGATAATTCCGAGATACTGAATAATGGAAATCATAAAAAAAAAAAAAAATTAATATTGTGAAATAGCATTCAGAGATATAATAATGAAAGGTATTTTATCTATTACTATTTCTTTTCCACAGCTATATAATATATAAAGTTCTATTAAGCTGACAAGATGTAGCCTAAATTTGAAATATAAGTCTGCTCCTGCTGTTTAACTGATCATGGTTAAGGATATAGAAGTACTCAAATGGTGGGAAAGTTAATAGTAACTGACTCAAGAGATCGGCCACTTTGTTCTCTTTCGGATAATCTCAAACGCAATCAGCACTCCATGGACAAGTATGACCGAAGTGATTGTGAACCATACGTAATCCGTGCAGAACTCATGTGAACTGGTACCGTTTGTGAAAGTCGTAAATCAAGGGAGGCCATAGAGGTCATAGAATACGTCAATCTTGGACTATTCTCAGAACTCCATTTCTACCCCAAAGTATTTGGACCCGCTGGAGTAAAATTAGTACTGTAGTACCCTCCATCTACTGTATGATCAGTAAGATCTTGAACCTCCTGTTAATTAGGCTTGATTCTTGTGAGCTAGTACCACAAGTGCTTGCCATGATAATCAAATATGAATGTAATTGAACTGTACAGCATTTTGTTATTTTAAATTTTTAAGGAATTAATTGTTAATAATGATTAATGCAAAAACTTCATGTCATGTTTTTTATTTATGTTGGTATTGCTCTATTTTATTTCAGTTACACTAGGATTTTTCGATGACATTTTTGTTCCTTCCGCAAATTTACAACATCCTTCACGATTTGATGAAGCTGAGCAGGTTTGGATTTGGGAGTATGATAACAATGGAGATAAACACGATTTATTTATGGATCAAGGTATTTATTTTTAATATATGATATGTACTTACATTAAGTTTGAGGAATTATATTTTTGCTATTAAATAATCCTTAATATTCACTTTGTTTTGTGTTTATCGAAATTTTTTTTTTTAAATACACTTGCTACCACAGAACTATTTCTTATGTATTTTGTATTATACTTACATTGGTAGTACTCGTTAAGCTTTGATTATTAAATAGCTTACAATTCTGTAGTTTGTTACATGTATTATCAATCATATAACTTTTATAAGCATATGGTAACAATTGATTTTTTTCTTCAGGAGAACCAGTTAAATTTAGAGTGACGGCTGAATCATTTGTGGAGAGTTCTCCTACCCCTTGTCCAGATTCTGATAAAGTAACAGAAAAACCTAACGCTGAAGTTCCATACTCTATAACGGTAAGTAATGTTTGAATGGCATAATTATCAATTTAGTAATGTTAAAGACTTGTTTATATGTGAACACGTTCATATATATCTATCTATGTGACCCAAATGTTCACTTGTGCCTTTCTACCATTCTAATTTCAAGGCTTGATAACAATGTAATTTAATTAATTCTTGATTATCTTTTTATGCCACCAAATTATTCATTGTTAATTATTCTTGGGGAACTGAATGGTCTAGAATAAAATTTATTTTTCTTTCACAAAATAATTGAACATAATAATTTAATAAGATAAAATTATTCATTGTGGGTAAAGGGTTGACTATCGTGAATAATGAAGAGAAGAATAGTTGGGGTGATCAGTCAAATAAGAATGCAAAAATAAATGATAATATTTATTTTGACATTTTCCGACGTTTCAACCTGAAAATTGATAAAATTGTGAATGATAAAATCATTAGTTGCCACTTAGCTATCTTAGGATTAGGAATAAAAATTATATGACATAATGAATATGAAAAATCAAAACTTGTTTACATTATCTTTCTGATTTCATTATACACCCAGCTTTAAGTTGTATACGCCAATTTTCCACTTGTGTGTGACTAATCTGGTTCAGGCTAGTTTTTTTAGATGGCCAGTTCAATCTATAGTTCTTTTCCTGTATTTTTTTTTTTAATTCTATGGTTGTCATTATTTGCAGTTATTATTGATTAATGTATGATTGTTTTCTTTTTTCAGGGTACCATCAATGAACCAGGTCTTGGGCTTTTGTCATGGTGGGAAGGATCGTGATAAATCATAATACAAATCTTTGTAAATATTTACATTTAATACAATTGTACATAAATTGTTCGTTGTTTACTTCCTCCTTACTCTAATAGTTAACAATCGACACGTGTGCTAGCAGGTAAACCTGTATAAGCTTGCTTAAAAAATATATTAGCTTAATAAAGTTTTTGTAATTTTTTTTTCTTACAAAAAAAGCATATAAATAATACAAAAAGTTATGTAAAATATTGAATTCAGCCTCAATTCCATTAAGCAGTCCATTTTAAACATCTCGTTTCAGCGTGCGTCTTCTGACAGTTTATGGAACAATATCTTGTACCACATGTGGTACAACTGTAAGGTGCTGGGAAGCCACAAACGGCACATAAGTGTCGTTTAGGCAATTTTGATGGCGGTGCAGAAACATCGATAAAACATCTCTCATCAGGTCGGCATGCAGCTTCATATTCTATCATTTGTGGCAGAGTTCTCCTGTACCTATAACATAACTCAATTAATATAAGTTAAGGAACCTAGATTTATTAATATATATATATATATATATATATATATATATATATATATATATATATAAAAATGAATATATGTCTGTCTGTCTGTTTGTCCTTCATGCATTACTAAACCATTCATCCGATCGTCATGAAACTTTGGGACGTTGTTCCCTACACTCCTGGGCAGATTTCTGGCATAGTGCTTCTGTCTTATCATAATTTTATATATGTAAACAAAATAAAAATGTAAATGTTTTTCTGTTCAAAACCAAACTGTAGCGCCAAAACGGTTTTAATGAAACTTGGCTAAAGTCTTCCCCTTGAAATCCTTTTAATTTATCTGTGCAACATACTTTCCTGAAAACAAGCTGAAAAATGTTATGGTGAATTCAATATTTTATTTGCCGATAACTAAAAAAGTACACAATTTTTTATGGATGATACCCACATTTATTTCAAAGATTTCTAATTTGCCGACAAAATAAAAAAAAAAACATTGAAATCGGGCGATTCTTTGCAGAGTTATACAGTTTTAAACATTTCCTGCTTTCTCTTCAGAAAAGGCTTTTTCTTTTTTTTTTTTTTTTTTGTTTTTGTTTAATCGAAAATTTTATAATTTCTACAGTAATTGAAATTATCATTTGAAGAAGTGATACGATTCTCCTTATGTAGGCCAATACTATTATACGCTCTTTATATTCATTTTTTATTTTCCTCCCAATGTATTCTGCAAGTAGTATGATACATTTCAAATATTTGATTTGCTATTATTTAAAAAGATTTAACTCTTGAGTTATACTTATCACCGTTTATGTTCCTTTGATTTCAGTTTATTTTATTTTTTTATAAATTTTTTTCTCTAACATTATGTTAGAATAAGGTTGTGCCGTTTACTGTAGGATTTCTTTCATGAGTATGGTTTATTTTTCCACTAGAATTTTTACAACTCTATATTTAATCAAGTTGTTATTAATAAGAAGCAATCAACTATCTTAGAAGGGGTATGCGAAATCTTTTGAGGAAGGTGGAAGACAGATCTAATGCACACGAAATGAACGCTATGATAAATTTATAGCACCATTTCAATGCATTGTCACGATTGATATTTGAAAATCTTTAACATTGAAACAGTATCGTAAAATATTTTGAATCGCAAGTGTAGCTTTTACATCCAACTGATGGTGCGTTATTAATAAATATGTATAGTTTCACCTTATATTTTATAATAGTAGATATATTAAACCACAAACCTATTTAAATGCAACGTTAGGCCAAAATTTCAAGGCAATGGGTAAAGAACTTTCTGAGATTTAAGAGTTTAAACAACCAAACATTTACATTTTTATTTGCCATAAAATGATCAACACATAGTTAAACATTAAACAATACATTAAATATAACAAATAAAAAAAATGGCTTGATATCAAAGGACGGATTTCTGTCATTTTCAGAAAGCAAAGATAAAGTCAATTTTAGTTTTATAAGTTCAACTCAGATTGTTTCTGATGATTAAGAATAAAGGCATATTCACTCAGATGATTACGAATTTTCAAGATGAATCAAGAAAAAAAAAACATTAGGATTAGTTTAAATTGAAGCCATTTTACAGACAAATTTGTTTCCCAACTTTATAAAAATGACAGATGTCCTTTGGTATTAATCCACTCATGTGTGCTTTCTATTTTCTTTCTTTTCAATTTTGCCAGTCCAAGCCACAGCAATGCGTGGCCGGGTAAAGCTAGTATACTATAAATAAATTTACTTGGTTTCGATTATTTTAAGATAGACACATGTTTTGAAATGTAAAACCTCATAGGTTCAATATTGTTTTTTAAAATTTAATAATTTCTAAACAAGCTCAATGTACAAAGAGATTCGGTCTAGAACTCATAGTTCGGTTTCTCATAAGAAGAAAGGTTTCTTTTGCCGTATCTTAATATATATGTAAAAAGCATTTAAAGCTCATATCAAAAATAGACTAGTGATAGCCAGAAAATTTCTTGGTTGATCCAACATACATTCTAGACCACAACTTATTAAAGTTTCAGCCAGTTAACCAAATTTTCGAAGTATTACACACATTTTTCATTGGCCCATGTGAAGAAGAAGAAAAGCTGACTAATCTATTCTAAATGTTCAAATATAATCATTATTTGGTTTCATCATTACAAATTTAAATGTAAATAATTTTATCACAAATAATTGACTGATTTTTTTTTAAAACAAATTAAATGATTCTTTAAATAATTTGCTTATTAATAGTCCATAATAATTCACGAAAGTCACTCCAATATGATAGCTGGGCCAAAATCATATTACAGAGGAGACTAAGTGGATCCAAAAATAGAGGAAGGATACTGATCTCCTTGGTAAGACCTCAACCTCAAATGAAAGGACCAATTAATTATCTTTTTAATAATGGCATGGGCGTGATTATATGATTAATTCAATTGAAAAGGACCTGTTGGGGGTTCATTTATCCCTTTTGAGCTAGTGGAAGTCGAAAGCACAATGCATTTAAAGGTAATTCAGTGTGGTGACCAACCTGGAAAATTCAAGAAGTAGAGGAACTTTTTTGGTATGTAAATATTTTTTCAAATTGGAAATAAATTTAAAGGGGATTGTAAATAACCTAAAAAAGTAAATTGTTAAATATTTAGTTTTGGCGGGAATAGGCGAATAGCCTTCCGCTTTATATCGGGGATTTAGGTTATTTACACTCCTGAATATTAAAACAAAACCACGGCACTGGATATCAACTTTTGGAGGGTGTTTAACTGTCGTTGGGAATTCGGGAATCTAATACCTTTTGTGACACTGAGTGAGGAGAAACAATAAGAATACATATACGAAATGTGGGACTTAGTAAACACTTTAAATGAATTGACTCACCTGGTTTATTCTTCAATTGTGAGGCCTATAGGACAACTAAATAAAATGACTTTTCACTAATTTATAAAATTTATTTTAACAACTGTAATAAATGAATGTATAAAAGTCTTATAACTGTATGCTTGATATTCCTAGTCTTCAATGTAGTAAGCCTCTCTTCCCAGATGACGTCTTCTCCTCTTCGTGTCCAAGCCTAAAGTGACCCTTCTCTACCTGGCGTCTTCCTCCAGCTGCTGCTACCTGGTCGGATCTTTTTCCTTCTTCGTCGATTGTTTATTGATATGAGACTTTTCAAACAACAATTTGTCCACTGCACAATTGAGTACAATTCACAGTGCAACCTCACACTCCTATATATCATATATTCCTTCTCATTCCCTCACCTAATGTCACCTACAGGAGTAAATACAGGGAGATGTCTACTACAGGATATCATTTAGTTGACTTTGAAGGGGATAAACTTTGTAACTATAACCTTCGTCAAGAGCTGAATGTTGCTAGATCCGATCATTTTTTTCTAAAAATTAGAGGTGCATGTAGACATTTTAAAAACTATGGGAGTGATAAATATATAAATGGTTATTTCATTAATCTGGTAATTTCATTTCTTGTTTTTGATATTTTCCATTTGCTGTCGGTATCAAAAGAAATATAATAAATAATTTGATTTATCAATAATGTTACTTTTAGTTAAACTTCCTCTTTGTTTATGTAAATAAAATAAAAGCGATAAAAATAAATTAAAAATCCTAATACCCCATCGAAAACATTGTATTTCTTATTTAAAAGACTGAATGATTTTTACTCAAATCATTTTGTAATAAGTTTTCATTAATGCATAATAAATAAATTTAGTTTTAATAGTGGGTTCATAGTTGACTCATTGATATATTGAGGAGAAGTTAGTTACAAATTATATATTATTAATATTTGTATGCCTAGACATATTAGTCAGGAAAAACTATCATTAAATGAGGAAATTTTACTTTAACTTTCAGGTAGGCACTCTGTAATTAAGTCTCTAATTTTAACAGATAAGGACGAGCAGGAATTTAGCCTCTGTCATAAATCGTGATATAAATAATTGAAAGGTGTAAATATTGTAAACATATTGTCAATCCTCTGCTATTGTCGGAATAACATTTATAGCATGATAATGAGATCTTGGTCCACTGATGTAAACAGAGACATTTATACAATGGTACTTCGAAAAATATGATAAGAGAGGTTACCAGAGAAAATAGCTATGAATACTTGATAACTTTTGAATTCCATCTGTATTATGATCAATATGATATTGGCCCAGACACTAAATTCGAGTGACAATTACCATAAAAATAAAGTAGTATTGTTATGTAAGTAGTGCCTGTAACAGAACTTAAACAATAGAATATAGAAAGATTGTCAAATATTAGCAATGGTTTTTGAGATTTAAAAACTTATTCTACAATAATTTAACCTAAATTACTCACTTGAACTTATAGTAATCAGCACTTTTGGTACCTCTCTTCTTTCTTTCTCTAGTCGTAAGTGTATCATGAAACTTAGGTGCATTCTTATTAGCAACTAAAACAATACCATTATAATTCATAATTAAATAATATAAATTAAATGTCCAACTAAAGTAAACCAAACTTATCCTACTCTCTCTGGAAACAAGTAAACAAACTGCAGGCAGTAACTAAGAAAGCAAACTTTCTTAGCAACAACCGGATACAGTAAATAGAAAGTCATCTATTATAGCTACAAAATGTAAGACAATAACTCAGATATATTTGAATAATACTCACCTAAATCACCGTGCGGGTCATCGTGAAAGTTATCATTATCAAGTGCTTCAATTGCTTGTTTTGCTCTTCTCAATCTTGTAGCTTCATCTAGAACTCGCCTTTGATTAGAATCTTTTATTCTTCCAGATTCTCGTGCATGCCCTCCTCCTCGTGACATTATAAACAAACTTTCCAATTCGAGGATACAAAATTAATCAACTTCAAATGACATTGATAATGTTGTTTTGACGGTTAAATAACCTCACTACAATGTTTATTGCCCAAAGAGGTACGTTCATACAATCAAGTCGAAGATGAGTGAAATTTCAACTATGAGTAATCTTAACAACTTCAATTTCGTTTCATGCTTAATTTCGTAAACTACCTTTATATCTATATACGATAAAAAAATTGTCGATTTCAAAGCAGCCTATGATACTGTGGACAGGAGCTATCTTTTTAAAATCATGACTGAACTGGGAATTCTTAGTAAGTTGGAGAAATTGACAAAGGCGTGTAAAAATGACCTCAAATGTAAAGTTCTAATGAAAAGGAGAAATAACTGAAGCCTTCAAAGTTCCAACGGGCTTACGGCAGGAAGATGAACTATCACCGATGTTGATCAACTTAGCCTTGGAGAAGATAATAAGAGTTATAACACAGAAAAATGGAGGGGTCCACGTCGGAATGAATCATAAAATCCTTGAATACGCAGATGATATAGCTGTTCTTCAAATTAATCAGGAAGACATTGAGAAACTCGCTACAACACTGATAAGAGAGGCAGAACAGATCGGCCTACAAGTAAATGAAGACAAAACAAAATATATGATAAGTCGAAAAATCCACCCTAATCACAAGATCTACATAGAAGGAAAATCATTCCCGAGAGTAGACAAATTCAAATACCTTGCCTCCACAATAACCTCAATGAATGACCTACGGGCAGAAACAGACCGGCGTATAACTAGCGCAAACAGAGCTTTTTGCACCCTCTCAAAGGTATACAAATCCTGAAAAAACTCAAGAAATCACAAACTAAGAGTATATAATGCTTTGAGAGGAAAATCCTCCGCACGATAACCAGAGCGATCTAGAATCAGAGTACTAACCAATGGAGAAGAAAGACCAATAACTGCTTACAGAAACTGGTATCAATACCCCATGATATGAAGGCACGGAGGTTAAGATGGCCGGGCATGTAGCTCGTAGCAATTCATCTGGAAGTTTCTACGTAACAATGAATGTCTTAAAAGAAGGTAAATAACCCCGTGGAAGGCCAAAAAGCAGATGGATAGATAGAATCAACAAAGATGCAATAGAGCTGAGTGCAGATAAATGGAAAGAAATAGCCCAAGACAGGCAGAGATGAAGGAGGCTTGTTAAGGCGGAAAAAGATCTACACGGTCTTTAGTGCCAACAGAAAAACAAAATACGGTTAAAAATGACCGTGAAACTGACATAAAAAACATTCTGTTATTAATGGATTACCTATCGTATATTTTAATGAAATAGTGAATAACATACAGAAGTAAAAGTGCGATCAAATGCGACAATATATTACATAATGTAACTAGCCGCTCAACTATTTAAAAAAACTAAGCCTGTCTCTTTTTCTACAGTAGTTGTTTTAAGTTTCCAGCGAGGTTCAAGTACTCTACGTGTACATAAAATTCTACATTATCCTAGGGATAGTATTGAAGGAAGTTAGTCGACTGCTGTACACATCATAGGTGATAATAGTAAGGACGCAGTCATTCTTAAGTTTATTATTGGTGCCGACGTTTCAACCCAAGTATGTGGATCATCATTAGGGCTGATGATATAGATTTTAATTTAATAGGTTACATCTGTAGATTAAAAAAACAAATATAAATTATGTATGATGTAGAGATGGTTGACCGTGATATGATATAAGAAGGAATCGATCGGTGGAGGGGGGGGGGGTGCGGTCAAATAATTATATAACTAAATTATACAAATAATATTATTTAATTTTTTGCCGATGTTTCGACCCACTTTGCAGGTCTTCATCATGGCTACAAAAGATACAAAACAAGTGAAAATAAAATAAATGAATCTACATATATCCATTGTATTTTTTGTAGCTCTGATGAAGACCTGCAAAGTGAGTCGAAACGTCAGCAAAAAAATTAAATAATACTATTTGTATAATTTAGTATTTACTTGACCGCACCCCACGATCAACTCCTTCTCATAAATTATGTATACTTGATAACATAAAAAACATAAGTTTGATTACAAAACTCAGACCTCATTCTCAAATTAAAACTAATCGTCTACAAAAGCATTCTTCGCCCTTCGCTTCTCTATGGTGCTCCTCTATTGTCCCACATTTCCGAAAACACAAGCAAGAGACTTCAACGATTCCAAAATGGAATTCTAATGAGAATAGCTAAAAATACGTCATCTGAAAAACAAAAATCAGATAAACTTCACGCCTTCTTAAATTTACCCACCGTATCTGAATTCATTAACAAAAGAATAATAAAATTCTACGATTCCTTAAAATATTTAACAAATGCAGAATTCAATACAATAAAATTTCCGCCATCTCCTCGGCGATGGCAAAATATAGCTGTAAGTTAGATTATAAGATAGTCCTAAGAAAATTATCAAGATAGAGGTGTGCCACATCACCCAGATTGAACGTCCAGAAATAAATATAAACAAAACTAAGAAAGGCTCAGCAAGACCTTAAAATGTATCTAAGATATAGTACAAGGAATATGTTAACCATGTGAAAGAAACAACAAACCTTTATGAAACTGGGGATAAGAAAAAAAAAAAACATAAGTTTACTATTCAAAGCAACTTAATTAAATGATGAAATTGACAAATATAAAACATACTGATTTTATAATTAAGAATTTCTGCATTGAGTCCTAATCTTATGAAGTGTATCTAAATCCTTAAAGAAGATCAATATGGTGGTTACTAGTACGTTTACTTTGAGATAGGCCAGCTTTGTTTCTATGTTAAAGTTTCATGATTATTTTATTTAAAATTAAAAAAAAAAAAGTGTAGTAATTCCAAACATTTTTCATAACTACTAATTACACGACTGCATTCTTGCAAGTTGTCTATGAAAGTTAAAGTTCATATTTTATGGATTTTAATTGTCTCCATTCATAAAATTTCGTACATTTTTTTCTCTTTGACCTTTCTAAATTATATTATCCAATACAATATTCTGAAGTTGACCTGTTCTAGCCACTATAATATTAAATCGTCATATTGAGCGATACTGACGCAATGAAACATATTCAGTAAATAATGAACAACGCTCGGTGATATATCGATAGTTTTGAACTCGTATGAGCATATCGAATTAAGTTCACCAAGAGTACCTAATACAGGCTTGTGAATATTATATAAATTGTGCTATAACAGTTTTCAATAATGCGATCAAACACTGAAAATATTTGCGTGTTTTAGTTCAATATTGAAGTGTGACGTAAATTGTAAACATTTATATAGAAAGAAAATTTTATTGAATAAAACTTTTTACTTACTACTTACTTTTAATAAAGAAAAACTTTTTACTTCTTTAATCAAGCTAACTCTTATAATCTTATTTTTGTATCCACGAAATATTTAAATATAACTTCCATGTATATTAAATTTATTCAGTGAATACCATACCAAAGGTTTTTGTGAAAAAATCTAATCTTTATTTCAAATCAGCTTTTAGTGATATATATATATATATATATATATATATATATATATATATATATATATATATATATATATATATATATATATCGAAGTATTATTAAAAATAATAATATTTTAATAATACATCGAGCTTTTTCTACTCGAATAACTATTCCTAAATTTTCTTTTGATAAATCAAATCACAACACAGAACACATGCTTTAAATACAATATTTTTTTCTCTCTTTCGCTTTCCTCGTCTTTCCGGTTATATGTGTTTATTCCGGCCCAGGGGAAGGGCATTAATAAGAGATTAATGCCAGAGTTAAAAGTTCTCACCAGCACAGGGATTTTAACTCGTAATATTCGATTAAATACGCGTTATAAATATATGCTCTATACAGCCATAAAATTTTTTTCACACAAGTATAATGAAATAGTTTTTAAACAATTTTATTGCCTTTATTAAGTGATTTTTAAATACTTTTTCCAAACTTTAAAAGTTTACATTTAGTTAGTAAATTTCATTTAATTTTATTGAAAACATGTGATCTCCGTTAAATTGTATTAGTTTTCACAAATTATTATGTTTTTTCTAAAATTCGTTTTCGACCTAAATAAACATTTTCCATTTTTTCTACATTTTTCAATTATCAATTTGTTTTCAAAAGTTATATTTAGCATTTTTTACGTAACTCCTAATAATGAGAGATAGTTAATTTTTTTAAATAAACCAAATTAAAGGTAGTTCAGAGAAAGACATGTTGAACATTTAAGTATTTAATCCATGTAAAGTGACACCAATGGGGGATAAGACCTATCCAACTAAAATTAAACAATGATACACCAATAATGAATTTAATCAAAATCGTTAGAGCCGTTTTTGAGAAAATTATAAAAAAGTGTATAACCGTTTATATAAAGTCGCACTTCCGAGTAGCCGATTTTAAGGAAAAAAGTTGCTTTAACATTCCAGGTATATACCAATGTTAAATACGTAATATCAGTTTTGTACGGCTTTTCGTTTTTGAGCTAGACTGTTCACATAAACACACGCACAAACCATTTTGCGGGACTTATTTGTTTTTGGTTATTTGGACTCAGGGTACCTCAAAACGTGTATTTCCGTTAAAAACTCAGATTCGAAAATTTTCACGATCGGAATACTTTCCCTTACTATATATTACATATATATGTAAGTGAAAGTAAAATAATAGGTCCCATGGTTAATAATTAATACATTGAATAGAACGTATGGCTTGAAGGCAGGGCCATCCACTTTCCTCCTTCAAGATATGCCACTGTCACTCCAACTATTTTTAATCATAGAGCCCCACGGGAAAAAAAATTGCGTATAGTAAAAATGGGTAATATAAAACTAAAATTAATAAATAAGACTTCTACAAATATATTTATTCTACAGTTAATATTACTTAGAACCTACAAAACAAGAGAATACCCTTGCTTCTAAGGATATAAATCCATTTGTGCTTGTAGAAAACTAATTTTTAGTGTCTATGAAATGTGCGTTTCTGAATACTCATTCAAATCCAATCATGAAGTTATAGAAACTGTATATTGCTTTAAGGCCCTGGAAAAAATTATGAATTGTAAGATTTGAGTATAATAAATTAAGTAAAAATATACTTATCCAGAGCCACAATTAGAAAATGTCGTTAACGAATAAATTAAAATAATATATTATGTAATTATGGCTTAAAATAATATTTTTGTCGTTTAGAATCAAAGCCCATGTTACCCGTATTTCAAAACTTTGTAATTGGACAAAACAAAACAAACAAACAAAAAAAAACAGTACAATATTTTATATTGTTATTATATTTATATTTATATTTTATGTTACAATATTTTAAATTTATAAACTATATAAAATTATGTGCTTAACACTCAAGATAAATTCAAAATTAGTTATTGCTATAATAACTAATATATGTGAGTAATTTCCAACTTTATATATTTAATTATTTTGACATATTTTAACAAGAGTATATCATTGTTTATATCATCAGAAAATGTTACGCAGTATTTTTGAAAATTCACTTATATATATAATTATGCTTTTATCAGATCAACAAATTATTTTTTCATCTTTTAATAATTCGGGGTTTATGAATCTGCTTGCTGTTATTTTGACCTCCTCACAGCCTAAGGGATTTAGGCCATCTTTGAATTCATGTGGAAACTATTCTTTATCTAAAAAATCCATTAGATGTCAATGAAAAAAAAAAATCGGTTAATTTTTGAATACTTTCTCTTCCTCTCCTCCCTTGCCTAATCGGTTGTACGGGTTTTTTCTGGGCTAGAGGAGAGGGCGAGGTATTAATGGTGGAGTCCTCCCACCCTCGACTCCGGGTCGCAATCTCCTAATTTTTTAATCATATCATCTTTAGTTTATCAAGTTGCTGGGCAATGCGTTTGCACTCCCATTTTTCGCTCTACCATCCCGTTCTCCTCATTTTTCAATGTTGTTTTGTATTGGGCATAACGGATTCTGTTTTTAAAATCGTTCCAAATTTATAGAAATTAATTTTTGATTTCGTAAAAAAATTTTGATCATTTTTATTCTGTTCTACGTTACTACAGATTAGATTGAACCCGCCAGTTACCGACAGGGATCCCAGTGAAAGACACGTTCGACTTTGAATGATAATAATAAGCTTCCTTGTTGATTCAAAGGTTCCATTTTTTTCTAAATTGAAGAACAATGCTCTCTATCAAGAACTGTATAAATAAAGTTCCCAAAAGAAAATTTTAAAATGCATATTACTGTTGTTTCTATAGTGCTCTTGAGATAAGTGTGTTCATACCTTCTTATTAACAGTTTTGCTAAGAGTAAGTTGAACATTTATCTTATCTTTATAGTTAAACAGAGATTTTAGAATTTTTCTGAGGTATGTCTGGTACCGACCCTCTGTCCATTACTAGAACAATTGAATTTCGAGATGTTCATCACAAGTGCAAAAAGATATTTTAAATGGAGATTATACCAGCATAACTGAATATGTTTTCAATTTTAAAGTGTTAAATAATAAAAGGATACTCTACAGATTATAAGTGTCAAACGGAGAATTTTCTAACTACAATAATTACGGTGGCATAAGCCAAAAAAAAAAAAAAAAAAAATTCCTTAGCTATGTCCATCGGTGGTTTTTACCATTGTTCGTAAATAATGAATTCTCATCTGTAAAAGACTGATTATTTAAGAGGCGATAACATTTATATGAATCCTAGCAATTTAAAAAAAATCCGAACTTCCATGCATTGTCTTTGTATGATGCTACTATTTTCGGTTATCCTTATCCATTAATTTTTTTTAATTAATATTTCTTAATGATATTTACAACTGTATTAAAGAAATACATTTAGTAAATTTGAACATATGGATATAATGACGTGAAAATACTTGTTGAGTAACTATTGGTAGCACTCTAATGGTATGCCTACATTTGGAGATCACGGGGCCATCTTTTTTTCAGAAGTCTCGGAGGCTTATCAGGAACTGAAGAGGAAGCAAGGTTAGAAACGAGAGGGTTGGGATGATTCTGAAGTTTATTATGGAAGGATAGGTATCTGGATCGGGCCAGATCTGAAATATAATAAACATTAAGGTCATTATGGATGATTTTATTTGTAACAAAGTAGGAAGAATTGACGATTTTACGAAGGATTTTGGATTGTAAGGATTGGATACGAGAGAAATTCGATGGTTTAGTGGAGTACCATAGCTCAACTCCGTAAGTCCAAATAGGCCTTATTATAGTCATGTATATGAGTCTTTTGTAATCAATTGGAAGTTTAGAGCGTTTGTCTAGTTTCAGTAGTCGAAAACGTCGGACGGTTTCTGATCGTTTCAGTCTGGTATGAGAATTCCAAGTCATTCGTTTGTCCAGGTGGAGTCCTAGGTAGCGGATTTGTCCAACAGTGATAAATGGAGTATTGTTAAAGTAAACTGCAGGATAGGAAGTCATTGGTTTACGACAATACATTAATTTAAGATATTAAGAAGGCAAGCACCCAATAGCCGAAATGGAAACTAAATTTTTTGTTTAAATAATTTTTGATGTCTTAACTTTTGAATTAGTGATCAAGGTGCTTGCATCGCAAATTTTTAGAAATAAAATTGTTTTTTAAATTATTGGACTTGATGAATTTTGATACTAAACGACTCATGTAGTCAGAAACAATACATAATATCTTACTGCGACGAAGGTCTCCCTGTCCATCACACCGCAGTAGAGCATCTGCATCTTCTTTGGCTGAAGACTCTTCGCCATTATCACAAGAACGGTCCTCCGGTACTTAACGTCCCGTTCGTACCAGTTCAACGAGTACACTGCTTCGAATATCCCCTCCTCCTATAAAGAGATCGAAATATCATAAATGAAGTGATCGACTGAGACAATAGTAAAACGCCACTCACGCTATCTTTGAGTTTGCCGCAGATCCAAGAGTACATGAAGAGTACAAGAAGTTCTGTTATGGTGGCTCCGATCCAGCTGTTGGAGTTCAGAACAGCTTCCGGAATGGATTTGGCGCCCCTGATTGCCTATTTCATATGTATTATTATTTATTATATATCGCATTTTAAATCAATGTATGCTTACAAATATATGTATGCTTACAGTTGTAGTAACTACACCCAGCGTTGGCAGTACCACCATACAGTAACCAATAGCAACACCTAGTAAAGGATTCATGATTTCGCTAATCTTCTTTATTTTTCTAAAGCAAATAAATAATTAATGATTAAATTTTTTTTAAATATTTCCTTAAGAGGTATTTGTTAAACAGTTGTGGCTTTTTTATTTATTTTTTGTTTTAAACTCTGCCGTGCCTTTTATGTAATACGGATGTCTGCAGTAGTACGATGTTAGGCAGCTTAACATCTCACTACTGCAAGTAAAGTTTGATAATCTGTTCTTTCTTAATGTCCTTGAATGCTTTTCCTAGACTTTTCATACTAATGGTCTAGTAGCTCACTGCGGCTTTCCACCCGTACACAAAATCTTTGTAGTACGGTTTAGTTTTCCACAGTGATTATCTGAGGGAAATCGTTCTCTGTGAGAATGTAGAGACCGGTTTTCCTCAGTAGTTTAGCCATTAGTTCTTCAATAGCGGTGCAGTCGGCTATGATCTGCTATGTCTGCTATGGTCTCCGAGAAACCACAACTAGGACATAGGAGGTCGATGTCCATCAAACATTTGTGACTACCTACCAAGTTATTTTACTTTTATTGAAGTTTTTTCACGACAAAGGATATGAAAAATAAACCCTGACTGCAGGGGTGTCCATTTTTCTCTAGGTCGATGGCGCGTGAACTCTCTCCCCACCTTTTTCCAAAATATTTTATTGCTCTCATCTTTTTAATAACAGTACAAGCTAAAAAAAACTCCCTTAAAATATGCAAGCCCCTCAAAAATTTTAATGGTGCAACTTGCGCCATGAAACAAGGGTTTCTCCAAAAATGATCATTTATGTCAGTTTTCTCGGATACGGAGTTATTAATTTTCAAATGGAGTTGTTATTAATTTTTACTTTTTCAAACTTTAATAACATATAATTTAAAAAAGGAATATAAAACTGTAAAAGGAATCACGAACTGTTATTAAAAAGTAAAATTCATTCAAATGCAGAATTCGTACTTTGGGATTGGCGGCTCTCTGGTCATACCCGGAATGCTTTGAATGAGACTACTTTAGGCACTCCCAGAACTGGTATCACAACTCATCCTTGTCTTCCTCCGAGCACAAGATACATAATTCGTCACCTTAACGATAACTATTGCAAAATAAATGGGTTCCCTATGAATTTGCGGTATGGAATATACATTCAGAATATTTATTGAAAAACTGGTCTCAGAATACTTACGTTTTGAGATTCGAAAATTACTTCCAAAAGTTCTGATCTTTTGATCACAACTTTACTCAATATGGACACATACTATTGAGTTGCGTTGTCCGCAACTACACTAATCTTATGCTAGCTAGGACGTATTGATATATCGGATTGATTACGAGAAATAAAGAATTTTTCATATTTCTCCATTCGAAATCTAAACCCAGCTTTTTGTGAATGTATAATCAAGAACGTATAATGAATGTACGTTACTGTAAAACAAGCTGTTTGAAATATTTGCGGGAACATTGATTTGAGGACATTAAGGTACCAATCTGTACAATCTGTGTAGTTATGAACCTCACAGGGATTTTACTACAGAACCGAAATTTTCCAGTAATACGTAAAACACGATTGGAAAATTTTGATTACTAGGAGAAAACATTTTTTAACACGTCAGCTGCTGAGCATGATTTCTCTTAAATGTCTTTCCTGACGATATCGGTACCCGGCGGACGATACTAGTTATGAAGTTCCTAACGGCATCGGATGCCGGAGATATACATCAGTTTCGAGGTAAACCGCTATGTTTTCACAGCAAAGGTGAACTAAACTCCCTATTTAGAGTCTATATCTGTTGATTGTGTCCTCATTAATGGCCAGCAATCGTAGGAGTGAACTCCGGCCTCCAATGGCGTTTATATGACCAGTTTTTTATTATTTCTCTTTATTTCAGTAAAAAAGTGTTATTTTTAAGGAAATAAATCTTAAATATTGAAAATAAAATGAGAAAAAGTTTATTAATTACATGTAATTATTATTTTCAAGATATAATAAAATATTATTTATATGTATGTTATTTATTTATTTATACCTGTTAAATAAGCAAGGTCTTAGATGAATTCTCAAAAGCTAATGCGCCACAGAAGGCCGAAGAATATAAGACCATCACCTTATAAGTCTGGTACGGTTTCAGTCCCTGGCATCCGAAAACTTTTTTCAGATATAATGATTATTTACGCTCGTATGTTTACATCTATCCAACTTCCATTCAAATATTTTCAGAAACTACCACTTTAGAGAGTTTCTAAGATAGAAAAAATTCGAAACACTCCCGGCCTGTTTGGTAGTCAGTTACACAATCGGCTTAATCCATAACCAATTATATTAATAACATTAACTTCATTCTTTATTATGTTAGCTTTACTATTAACTTTATTTTAACAATTGATGTGACAATTATTTTTTATTGAAAGTTCTCAAAAGCAATCAAAGTTTCCAAAAGATAAAGCTATCCATGATAGCTTAGAAATAGTAATCTAGAAGGCACCGACTGGACACAATAAGGCCCATTATCAATAACAGATTGCAGAAAAAGGCCCCTTTCTCTCATATCAATACTAAACAATTACAATATCAATTTCTGATAACTTTTCAAATGTTCATAACGCCAGACGTTCCCACGCTTACCAGATTCCTTCTCTTATCATCCAGATCCCCACCCCTTTTCTTAGATAGACAAGTCTCCTAATTCAAAGGGGATTCATTCCATGGCTAGATGTTCAGTAGTTAGTATAATAATAATAATAATAATAAGGCTTAGCGAACCCGAAGGTTCGATGCCGACACCACCAATCGCTTGTTACACACCTCCCTCCACCGATCGCCGTCCAAACCCAGTCCCTTCAGATCGGCTTTAATGCAATCTTCCCACCTTCGCTTCGGTCTACCCCTCGGACGCTTACCATTCGGCACAGCAAATATTAACCTTTTAGGAATTCTCTCGTTACTAAGCCCAACAACTTTACAAGCCCATTTGATTCGCCGCGATGAAATTACTCAATTATATTACCCGGATACAGCTCACGCAATTCGGCGTTGTGTAACCGTCTGAACTCTCCGGTTAACTCATCCTTCTTCGGTCCGAATATTCTACGCAATACTTTATTTTCAAAAACCTTAAGACGCTGCTCATCCTTAATGTAAGCGGCCAAGTTTCGCATCCATAAAGAACTGTAGGCAAGATAATTGTTTTATAGATTCTAATTTTTAAGTTTCGGGACAAGAGGCGCGAACTAAGTAGTTTTGTCACAGAAAAATAACAAGCATTCCCGCCTTCAGTCTAACCTTAATCTCTTCTTCAATTTCGTTTTTTCTAGTTATCGTAGAACCTAGATACCTAAATTTATCTACCTGTTCAAACATATTACCATCTATATCGATATCACCAGTAGTATCGCCATTTTTGCAGCTAACCATATATTTTGTTTTATCCACGTTTATTTCGAGTCCTAGTTCTTTACCGGCTTTCATTAACGTTGTCGTATTTAGTTTTATAGTTTCAACGTCTTCGCTTAACAGTACCAGATCATCAGCATAGCCCAGCACGGATGTTGTCCCGCCCAGATCCAACCCTTTCTCGGTTCGCATTACCTCCCTAATGGCATGTTCTAATGCCAAATTGAACAGGACAGGCGAAAGAGAATCCCCCTGTTTTAAGCCCGAACGAACCTCAAATTTTTCGGACAAATTATTACCGATTCTAACTTTATTGAGTGTCTCCGTCAAGCACATCCTGACTAGATTTACTAGTTTTTTTGGAATCCCCTGCTCGATTAGAATATTATACAGTTTCTGGCGGTCAATAGAATCGTAAGCCTTTTTAAAATCTATATACAGCTGGTGAACAATACCGTTATACTCCAATTTTTTCTCTAATATTTGCCGTAAAGAAAATATTTGATCAATAGTCGAACGATTCCGTCTAAATCCGCATTGGTAGTCTCCGATAATTTCCTCGGCGTATTCCGTGATTCGACTGGTTAAGATTAAAGTGAATATTTTATAACATACCGGAAGGAGTGAAATTCCTCGATAGTTATTACAATCCGTCCTCGGACCCTTTTTGTGAATCGGAATAAGAATAGATTCTTTCCATTCTTCAGGTAATTTCTCGTTCACCCAGATCTTTTTAACCAACCGATGTATTTTAGAAACTCCAGCTTCCCGCATGCCTTAATTAGTTCAGTAGGAATATTATCGATTCCCGCTGCTTTATATGATTTTAATTTTCCGATAGCTACTTCAACTTCCTCTTTACTTGGTCCTTCTATTAACGGTTCAGCACTCTGGTACTCAGAAGGAGGACACAGATCATAATTTCCCGTATTTAAAATATTGTCAAAGTGGTCCTTAAACTTATTCAATATGTCAACCGGATCGGTCAGAATATTGTTATTATCATCCCTAATTCCAGACGTTACGGGCCCTACATATTTACGTGATCTGTTTATACCTTTGTACATGTCTCTTACGTTATTTTCGATTCTATTAGTTTCTATTTCAATTATTTTATTTTTAAGATACTCCCTTTTTTTATTTTTGAGCAATTTTGTCGTTTCGTTCTTTGAGATTCGGAAGTATTCCAGATTGTCTTCGCTAGGATTATTTAGAGCTTTTAATTTAGCGGCTTTTCTTTTTTCGCACATGTTTAATCAGTAGTTAGTATACAGTAAAATATTCATATTTATAACATTGTATCCATAAATACAATTTGCTAAAGTATATTGAAGTAACGATTTGTTAACTGTCGAGACAAATATCATACCCCGGGGACCGTAACCGTAGCTAACGTGTTAACCAAATGCATGCTTGTACAAGTTACATTACCAAAATGTAGTGGAGGTATTTTGTCTATCGTGATGTGAAATTCCTTTTACACTTACTCAAGAACCAACCGATGATCTTCTATTAGCAGGGTGATGTCCATCCGGTCTTCGTCATCCCGCGGGCCGGCGAGAGTGCTGTACTGGCTGGACTAGCAGAGGATTCAAGTTCCAGAGGATCAGGTTCATATATATGACCCAATTGTATATCTTAGCCGTCGCT